TCACCAAAAGGATTATCAGAGGACGAACCAAAAATGAAGTCTGGGGGTGCTCCAAGAACTTCAGCTACAGCACTTTTGAGCAAATACTGAAAACAACCTTGGGGACAGTGTTTCCAGCCTGGCTCAGCACTGATGTGCGAGCTAGTTGACTCATGAGAACCCAGATTTGTCCAGCTGAAGACATACTGCGCCCGTCTGTGAAATGACAGACAGCACTCGAGTATAGAATTTGCACTGAACATACTAGTTCTGCTTGGGTTTGCGAGCACAGAGCATTCCTCTGCAGATGACGAATGACTCTGTGTTTGTGCAAGGCATTTCTGTCCCTGGAAGTAAAAGCTGAGGACACCAATATTGAAGATGTACCAGTGTAGGCAGAATGTTTGGAAGTCTTCTCTTACATCTGCTTGCATTATTTTCTCATTCTTAAAAGACAAAGATTCTTAAGGTCCATATTGCTTGCCAAGCAAGCTAAAAGTAAGTAAAATGTTCAAAATATTTTATACAGAACGTGCCTACTTGGAAAACTTAACTGACAACTTTCAGCTGTGTCATGTTAAGTTGCTACAACAATGCAGCCTGACAAATGCTTTTAATAATAAAGCATATATATTTTTCTTAATGAGCACACTAAGGATCCTTCCTTCTAAAGTTAGTAATTATCCCATCATACAAAAGAAAAACACGGGGCAAAAAAGGGCTAAGGAGTTGATCAGAAGAGCTGCTTTGAGGATCGTTAGAAGATGGTATTATTTTAACTGGGAAATCTGTACCCTGTAAAGATACAGTGATAAAACGCTCGGGTCTGTGCCCACTGTCGTAATCAAGTGGCAGAAAGGAGGGAGTCCCCACCCACAGGAACTTGCACCATTAAAACTTGCAGAAGTTGAGCAACTCCCTTGCTCTGCTGGGCAGGCGATGGTTGTAGCAGCAGCCTCTCGGAACAGAGGGAACCGGTGCTCCTGCCCCTGCATCTTTCATTGAGACCAAAATAAAAAATACCCAACAGTGAGACTTTATGCTAAGAATATATTAAGAGGGCATTAGTTGGAGAATGATGGAAAATTGAAAAATAAAGTATTGTAGCATCCATCAGGTCGGTAGCTTCCTGATAACACCTCTGTCTTTATGACTATCCACAACATGCTGCCAAAGGCTTCTAGCTTCTGTCAGTCCTTGATAAGCTGATTTACACATCATTATGATAAAATGTATAAATAAATAAAAGAAGGAGAAAGTGGAGGTGGGCTGAAAAAGTGCAAAGCCCAGGGCTAAACTGATTCATCATTATTACTGTAATTGCATTTCAGCTGCTTAGAAAATACAGCAACCCATTTCCCCAGCTTTGCAATTGAGTGCTGTGGTTATGTCTCTTTTTCGGATCACACTGACATTTTCCTCCGGTCATTTCATAACCCTTTCATTTTACTCATATTTTCAAGATGTGCTGAGAAGTGACGGTCCGTTGGGGTTTCCTGTGCCCTCGGAGCTGCACGTAAACACGGCACGGGCAGGCTGCTGTCCTTAAACCCTCCGTGATTTCCTTTTGGAAAAAAGAGAGGGGCAACAGGGGAGCCTCGCTGCATTTGCATGCGGGGAAGCCGGTCATTTGGCCCCGTAACAGCCGAGACTGGTGTGTGAGCAGGAGGAGAACATCTACCTTTCATGACTGTGCTGCAAATGAAGCAGATATTTTAGCCAGCCCCCAGGCTGTCTTTGGGGACTTTCAGGCAGAATTTGAGGAAATGCAGGAACCTTGAAAAAACGCTCAAGAGACAGGATGCCGTAGTGCAGCGCTCATGGCAGACCTACACAGAAAATACTGAGCTCAGATAGTCGTGTTACTGGGGGAGCTCCAGCACCTCGGTCCTCCCGGTGCTTTTTGCACTTCCTGAAATTAGAAGACTGCTTTTGTGTCTTATCTCTAGCCAGGCCAGGAGTGTCCTTACCAGGCAAACAGAGTCGGGGTGCTTATTGGTGTCTATCTGTCAAAATCCTGACAGAGCTACTGCAACCAGGGCATTCTTCCCAGGCTTTGACTTGTGACATCTGATAATCTTCATGGTTACGTTCAGCACTGAACAACTTCCTCCCAGCCATTAATCATATTAAAAGGATGACCTTTTCGCAAAAAGTTTCTTTTCCGAGAGCTTTTGTCTGGACAAGTTCTCCGCTGAGGATCTGATCCGAAGCCCACTTGCCCGGTAACTTCAGGTGGCTTCGGAGCAAACCTGGGAAGAGGGATTTTCCTGCAGACCTCAGCAGCCCACGAGCTCTTTCAGTGCTTTGTTTCTCCGTGCAGTGAGAGCCGGTAGCTACCCTGCACTGCTGGAACTGGGACGTTGTGCAGGTGGAAGGCAGCTTTTCCCTCTGATTTGCATTAAAATGACATATTTGACTTCTGCCATCCCGAAGTATTAACAGTTTCTGGCATGTGGTACACAGGTGAGCAGAGGCACTTTTTTTGTTGACTTCTTTAATTGCCATTCATTTGCCAGGTTCAATTTAATTTGTACAAGGAACGTGTACACATACCATTACAAACCTCAGTTATACACACATAGCAGCGCCAATAATTCGGGCAGAGGCTCCAAGAGTTCACAGTGCTTTAGGAAATCAAGCACATAATACACCATCAGGAAGGTAAAAGGACAAAAAATAAATAAAAAATAAAATTTAAAAAAAAACACCAAAAAGAGGAATAGTGATTCAAACCAGCCTGATGACAGATTCTAAGCCCACTGAGTCACTTGGCGTCTTTCCAGCAGTGCTTTGGAGGAAGGTTGGCAAGGAAGGGGAAATAAACAGATGCCTTTGCAAACGAATCATGCTTCAATTGCCAAATGTTATCCTCCGCTAAAAAATCAGAGCAAACCTTGAACCTGACATCATTACTGGAGTTTTGTTCTGATAAGTGCTTCGCACAGCACGTTGGTGCCAGGGTCCTGTCTCAGGGCCTGACTTGTCTGCGTGATGTCTGAGAAATAAAAATACTAGATAATTCTTTAAAAATTAGCAATTCAAAAGGTATGGCTAAAGATTGGCTAAAATTGCAAGCTCCCCAACAACCTGGTGTGACATTTAAAGTGCAAATCAATAGTACCCTGCGGAATGTGAAACGCAACACAGCCTGTCCATGCTGCGTTCTTGCTAGAGAGAAAATGCCAGCATGCTAATAAGAAAATACCGAATGTGACAGTGCTGGGAAGGAGAAGCTGGCAGCCAGCTTTCTCCGTGGAGCTGATGGAGGCCCCTTGGGTGTTCTCCCCCTTCCTTCCTGCTGCTGTGTGTGAAATGCAGGAGCAGGGACATCTGTAATGTGGTTGCACACCGAGATACCGGCTGTCCGGTGTTTCTGAGGGCGTTGGATTGGGGGACTGGGAGCTGGAACCTCGTTACCATCTGATTCCTAATTAGCCATGTGACAGAGAGCACGATGTGGTCATCTCGAGTCTGTGTGAAGTTTAGGAGGAGGTCCCTGCAGCCGGGGGAGAGACCCGAGATGCCAGAGAGCACCTGTATGGCAGTGAGAGTCGGATGCTTTAAGTCCCAGACTTCATCTCCCTTTCATCCCAGAGGTGATTAAAGCAGGCTGAGCAATGTCTGATTTTGGAGTTTATAAGCTTGACTAACGTGATCTCTCATTAAGATCAACAGAGCTTGTATTAAGTGACAAGAATTAAGCTTGTCCTGCAGCATCAAACTGGTGGCATCCAGTAACCTCCCTCAGCAGCAAAGGGGAAACAAAGCTGAAGAAACAAAAACAAAAACAAAAACAAAAACAAAAACAAAAACAAAAACAAAAACAAAAACAAAAACAAAAAGCTGAAGAAGAAAGCCCTGTACCCAGGGCTCTCCTTTAGCTCTAGAATGACTGAGACCCACCTGGGGACAGGGTGACCTGCTGGCCCAGCTGGTTCCCTTTCGAAGGGTTGCACTGTGCTTTTCCTCCCCCTTAAATACAATGCTGTGGGTGCAAGCAAAGTCCCAAATATTTTATTTTATTTTTTAAATTATTTTGACGCTGTTGGCAGGATGCTGTACCTACAGGTTGCCCGCGGCCCCCTGCATGGCCCTGTGTGGGGACAGACATGTGGTTACAGACGTGTCCCTCAGAGGGACACAGGGGATCCTGGAATCAGAGGGTCATTAGTGTTGGAAGAGACCTTTGAGATTAGGTTGGATATGAGGAAGAACTTCCTTACTGAGAGGGTTGTGAGGCATTGCAATGGGCTGCCCAGGGAAGTGGTGGAGTCACCATCCCTGGAGGTCTTTAAAAGACGTTTAGATGTTGAACTCAGCGATATGGTTTAGTGGAGGACTGGTTAGTGTTAGTGTTAGGTCAGAGGTTGGACTGGATGATCTGGAGGTCTCTTCCAACCTAGACAATTCTGTGACTCTGTCATCTGCTCTTTCTGACAGAAACATCTCCTCATTTCCAACCTAAACCTCCCCTGGCACAGCTCGAGGCCACCCCCTCTGATCCTATCACTATTTATCGGTGAGAAGTGGCCGACCCCATCTCCCATAACCTCCCCTCAGGCAGCCGCAGAGCGCAGCGACCCCCCTCTTCCTCTCCCCTCCCCTCCACCCTTCTGAGGGCCCGGCCAAGGGGCGAGGGGGCGGGGCCTGATGGAGGGGGCGTGGCTTTATGAGACCCCGCCCCTCTCCCTTGTGGCGGCCTCCCCTCCACGGACTTCCGGCCGCCACCGGAAGAGCCGCGGAGGACCCGGAAGCGCGGTGCCGGCTGCCCGCGGCCGCACGGTGACGGGGCGGGGACCGGGGCCGGGCCCGGGGGCTGGGCCCGGGGGTGTCGGGGGGCGCCTCGGGGGGCGGAGCCCGCTGGGTGCCGCTCCAGGGAAGCCGCAGGGCCGTGTGTTGGGCTCCCGGGGAGGGTTCCCCGCGCTCGGGGCCTTCCAGGCCGGGCCCGAGCCTCCCGTGGGGGCAGCGCGGGGCAGGCCCTGAGGTGCCTCAGGGGGGTGGGGGAGGGGCGGGGGGGGTGCGCTCCGTGCTGCCAGCCCCCGCTTCTGCCGTTTGGGGTGTTCACCCCAAAATTACACCAGCCGCATAAAGGGTTCTCGCCGCTTTTCCAAGCCGTGCCGGTCTCGGGTGTTTTCGTTTCGGTTTTCTCACGAAAACGTCGGGCCCTGAAGTGTTAGGTGGAGATGGAAGGCTTTGTTATCTGGCAATTCCCATTTTTTATTACTGTCTGAAGCTTTTTAAAAAGACACACCAGATCTCTTTCCAATAACTAAAGCTTGACTTAGAGTCAGTTTCAGAGCACTGATCAAAACGCTTCTGTGTCTACAAATGCTGTTGACAGCTGAAAGGTGGATCTCTGAGCACACGCAGGACACTGGCAGGGGAAGGCTGTGTCTTGTGAGCTCACACTGCGTCCCTGATGTGGCTGAGTACAGAAGGAATCTGCCACGCAGGAACCAAAACTTTCCTTTTGGTAGGCTGTGGGCAGGCTGTCGTTTGGTTGCCGCTCCAGTTCGTGAGACAGGCTGCAGGCATTAAAACAGCCTGCCAGGCAGGCAGTTCCACACAGCTCTTCAGGAGCCAAGTTTAAAGGTGAAGCTCCCATAAACCCGCTTGTTGTTGTCCCTGGGGATGTGTGTGGCCTCCCTGCTAGCAACAGGGATGGAAGCACAGCACCGTGTTACACGTTTCCTCCAAGGCATGTGCAGCTGGCTCCTGGGTGTTCCTTAACGGTTTGGTATTAGGGTGGTGTGAAAATTGCTCTGTGCAGGCGTATTTCCAGCCGCCGTGTGTGTTACGGGGTGGGGGGGCTGTGACCTCTTTGGTTGACTGAGCTTGTAACACGCATCCTGTGCTGCTTTTGTTTTTCTGTTTGCCGTGGACAGGAGGAAGTCAGCACGATGCCAGCCCTGCCCCTGGATGAACTCCAGCTGACCGAAAAGGATCCCAAGACGGGGAAGCTGAGAACGTTACCGGCACTGGTGAGCTGTGTTTTTCCTGAAAGCCAAACAAGGCCTTGAACAAATGGCTGTCATATATTGAGACCTGGGTAAAACTGGTCTTTGGCCTGGGATATGGGGAAATTTGGACAGCTTTCCAGTTCAAGACACTTTTACTACGTTCAGGTAGTGAGTTTTCATTTAACCACCATCAAAACAAAAATTCTCAGCTGTGTTCAACATCGGCAATAAATGGTGTTGTCCTCAAACTCCTCATCCAAGGAGCAGCCTGGTGAGCAATGGAAGCTGCTGCAGAGGAGAGAACGCTCTTGGAGTTTTTGCAGGCTGAATGCAGCGTAGTTCAGAGCCAGGAGAACTTTGTGCTTACTGAGTCCTCCCGCCCTCTGGCTTTGGGTTGGAACCGCAGGGTGGAACTTGAAGTCTCTGCCTCATGCTTGTGCCCAGCATGAGAGTGGCCTGCCCGTGCTGCCACATAGGAACATCCAAAGTCATGCACAAAATGACATCCGCAGCTGGCCTTTTCTTCAAGAAACACGGAGGCTTGGGCAGAGCCTTCTCTGGGGTGTGCTGCAGAAGTGGGGCCTGCTGCTAACGCTGCTGGCTCAGTTTACCCTGGGTGTTTGTGTGGGCTGAGGCAGAGCTCAGAGCTGCTGCTCGTTACCAAAATGCCTCTCGTTCCTGGCTGGGGGAATTTGGGTAAACCCTGAGGAAGGGGAGGAGGAAGTTTCTTCTTTGTATACTGTGGTCATATTGGGGTGACTTTGTGGAACGTTGTGCGAGAAGTAGCTTGGAGGAAACAGAGAGGGCACAGACAGCATTTCATAGGCATGACATTAAGCTGCTGCTGTTTGTTTTGGAGGTGTGGGAGGGCTGCTTTGCAAGGCTTTCGGTTAATAGAGTGCAAGGAGCATCATCTGCTGAATTGCAGAGGTCTGAAAATATTGCCGAAAAGGAAGGACACAAAGCTGCTGATCTGCTGTCTTTAAAAATCAGAAAATTGGAAGTTGTCAGGGAACTGAGTGACAAATTGTATCCAAGTGGGGCTTTTGTGGCAGTTTCCAAAAACTCAGCGAGCAGCGCAGATGGTAACTGGGCATTCCTGTCGCTCGTTCCGTGGTTTTAATACCGTGTTTTGGCTTTCTGCAGCACCCAGAAATAAAAGCAGATCGGTCTTTTGTGCTATACAGACCGCCACCTGTTGTCAGAGATCCTGCCTTAGTGGAAGAATTCCTGGAGCGAGCGAAATTCATTGCAGATGACCTGGACTGGCTCCTGGCTTTGCCTCATGATAAGTTTTGGTGCCAGGTAATAATTGTTCATGGATGCTGGAGGAAAAGTGTGAATGGTCTAGGGGCTGGCAAAAGGCACGGATTTTAAATCATCTTCATAAAGACTTTTGTACCCTCGGTATGTCCTTTATCAAGCATTTTAGTTACTGCACCTTAGATTGCAGATAAAGTAGCATTTCCCCGCAGGTTCTTCACTGTTGATTTGAAGAGTTTGATTGTGTTTCATGGATGGGTGAATCTGAAGTGTTTTGGCTTCTCGGTTTAACTGGGCTGCCTGCAAGTGCAGCCTCTGACTGTGCTGTTCCCTCCTTTCCCCTCTGCCTTCTGTGCAAGGTGATATTTGATGAGACGCTTCAGAAGTGTCTGGATTCCTACCTGAGCCATGCTCCTCGCAAGTTTGATGTGTTGTTGGATTGCCATCCAGAGGTGAACGACATGCAGAAGCGCCTCCATCGGAGCGTCTTCCTGACTTTCCTGAGAATGTCCACTCACAAGGAGTCCAAGGTAAACATTTCTGTGCTTGACAGGCACTCCAGGCTGTGTAGCTTAGGAAAAAAGGCAACTGGAGAAATTAATTGTGATTCTTATTTGCATGTCCTAGCTGCATTCCTCTCCCTGTCTATTTTTATCAGTCTGCTGCTCTGTGTGGAGGTGATAACCACTCAGAGCTGAGGCATCTGAACTATGTGATGATTTCTTAGGAAGGAGATCCAGGCAAACAACTCTCTAATAGCAGGTTAGCGCCCTGTGGTGCTGCGATACGTTGGGGTGAGAGAAGAAAGAGCAAGCTGGCCTTTGTGGCTGCGTGGCATACAGGCTTTGCAGGCTGCCGGTGGCTGAGTATTCACTGCCTCGGTTCCCCTGTGCCGTGCAGTGTCACGTCATCTGTGCTAACGCTCGGCTCTGCTTGAACTTTCTCCATGTTTTGGACGCACAAAGAAATTGCTCTAAATTACTGTTTTCTTGGCATCATAATTGGGAGGCGTACTCATCCCTAATTGTGTGAGTGCGACTCCCATGAGCGGCCGTGGAATTTTCACAAGCCTTTGGGCAGGATGAGGCACCTTGTGTTGTGGCAATTTACTCCCTTGATATCTTCCTTGGCTCACTTGGTGTTACTTGCCGGTGCGGTGATTCGTGTGATTATCGCCGTGGTGACATTGGGACACGGAGGAAAGGTTTTGGGGTGGGAGTCGGAGCAGGGAGGGAGCAGGTGAAAGGAATGCTGGAGCCTGCAGCTGGCACCGCCTCAGCAAAAGTACTCGACACCTCTATGGTGTCTTTCATTCCGGGATCTGATTAAATCTTACCACCCCAATGAGGCAGGACAAGCATCTGAAACCATTTCATAGCTGAGTAGTTTGAAGAGAATGAATGGTCTGTTGTCATGCAGGCAGTCTGCAGCAGTTCTAGAAACTGAACCTAGCCAGCATAAAGCCCAGGCCTTCTGCTCTGGCAGGGAAAATGTGCACGCTGCCTTTCTCTGTGATTGAAAACGTTTGCCATCCCAGGCAAATCTGTCTTCTGAAAATCACTGACTCCAAAATTGCGTTTTAGCTCGCTTGCTTTCCAGTGTCACAGACAATGGAATTTTTGTTACCTAGAATTTGAAAAGAAATTCCTTGAGTGCAGGTGAGTCTTGTATTGGACACAGATTTTAGCAGTCAGGTTACAGAGTTGCAGTTCCTAACTTTCCTTCCTACTTCTTGTCACTGGTGCAGTCATCTTTGTTGCCTCAGTTCTTCTGTTCCAGGATACCAATAACCTCGGGCTGGGATTTCATGTGGATTTTTTCAGCGTCCATGCCAGTTAAGCTCTTCCCATGCCTGGCTACTTATTCCTACTCCTGAGCAGAGCCTTTTTTTGTGTCAGCCCAGCTGTTTATTTGGCCATGTAGTGAGATAGGACTGAGAACTGAACCAACCATAAACCAATTGCCTTTTGTTTTAATTTCTAGGTCGATTGCTTCAGTTCAGGGCACAGCTTAGCTGTGTAAGCAGAGGTGCAAGGCCAGCGGCATGGTGCGGTGGCAGTGACAGGCAGCTGGGAATGTGGGGATAGAAAGGTCTGCAGAAACTGGTGTAAACAGAGCTGCTGCCTCCTGTGAAGCAGAACCTTCAATGCACATCTTAGAGATGTTTTAACGAGAACTGCGGCATTATAATGACATTTGTAAAGTAAGATATAGAGTATCCTTTATGTGACTTTTTTTTTCTTTGTAGGATCACTTCATCACTCCCTCAGTCTTTGGAGAAATTATTTACAACAATTTCCTGTTCGACATCCCTAAGATTCTGGATCTCTGCGTGCTCTTCGGGAAGGGAAATGGTCCCCTGCTCCAGAAGATGATCGGTTAGTTGAAAGCAAGGAACGGCTCATTGCGTTTAGGCTTTTGCTTGCCTAGAATGGCAGGCAACAAATGAGGTTTTATACTAATGTCACTGCTCTGAAAACAACTAGAATACATGGTTGTTCTTAGCCGCAGCGTGAGGGGACTGTGAATACTCTGCAAAATCTGATAGTGTGGCTGTGCAGCTTACTGGTGGATGAAGTGGGAGAACTTGAAATTTCAATGCAGGCATTGATTTATGTAGTGCTTTCAAACTGCAAAGCACTTCAGAGCATTGCTTAAGCTGTGCTTATCCCAAGATATCTCAGCATCTGTAGAGTCACCCGCAGCAGCAAGTGCATATTAAGCAACAGCTCAGCTTTGGACACTAGAATCTGGTAAAGAAGAGAGTGCGTGTTGGTTTAGCTTCTGGTTTTATCCCATGCTCTCTTCCCAAGAGAGCTACTTGTGATCTTTAACATCCACCTGAGCAACAGGTGGAAGCGTACCTAACCTTGGAGTAAGTGAGTCTTTGTTCCTAAATGCTAGCCCAATTTGTCTGCTGTTCATGCCATGAAATATTTTCCTTTCTTTGGTGGCTATTTCTGTCTTGTTTCCAAGTAAACTAGCACGAGAAGCACTAGAGATCATGTGACACAGCCAAATTTCCAGACCAGAAAAGCTTAGAAGCTTAGAGTTTTCGAATCCCTTTGTCCTTTTTCACTAATTTTCACTCTAAATTTAGCTGTCAAGCCTCAGAGGTGGGAAGGAAGCATGACAAGATAGATAGTTCTCTTTCAGATGTGCAATATAAATTATCTGGGTATTAAAATATCCTTCAGAAGACTCAAGTGTGTGAAACCTCATTTGAATTTTACGTACCCTCTGGGGTGCGACGCAGTAATGCTGCATGTTAAGTGACCAATGATTTGTTCACCTGATTATTTGCTTTATATTGGCAAGAGTAATGGCGTGAGCAGTTCTGCAGTGTAATTCATAACTTGATAAACTTTAGGTTCTTCTCCAGGAATAAATTTTTTTGAAGTCTGTCTCATAACTCTTACCCGTGCTCTGTCCTTGCTGGAGAACTCTGTTAATTTTCGTAGTCTGAACAGTAATTCACAGGAAAAGAGGCAGCCTCTATACTGCCTTGGTCAGGATTTATGGTGTGCCATTACTCAGTCGAGTATTTTGTAAAGGTAATGAAGTCCTGGTAATATAATAGCAGGTATTACTAAAGCCTCATTACCCTTAAGAAATATTCTACAGAACATTTTCCAGTGTATGCTGAACTGTTATCAGTAATTAAAAGTCAACTCCATTTGTTAAACAAAGGAGCTAGGAATGTTTAACGATAGTATTTGCATTATTCATCGATTCCGCCTGAGGCGTGAATCTTCTGACATCTCCTTTGCTCTGCTGCTGCACATATTTTTGTTAGCAGCCCTCCAGTCTCGCTGAGGAGCTGCCGGGACAGCTTTGTAGGAGCGGGCGCTGTGCATGAGTCGAGAAATGAATCTGTGCCCAAGTCCTAAATGGGAGTTAGCCACATCTGGACGGGACGAGGGGTGTCAGTAGTAAAAGTCTGTCTTCTGGTGTAAATTTGCTTGTTGGCATGACTCTCTGAACTAATGGGAAGTCGTCTTCTTCACCCTCTCTTCCCAGAAAATATCTTCACTCAGCAGCCAAGTTACTTCGGTGACCTAGATGAAACCCTGCCCACTGTCCTCCAGGTACTGCTTCTTTGCTCAGCCCAGGGCTGAGCACAGTGGCGTAGTTTTGGGGACGGGGGGAGGGAGTGAATGTGGTCACAGGCAAGCAGAATGTATTTGTTCTAGCTCTCATTTGTATTTGTTATCTCATTTATGCTCAAGTGCTTCAAATAATATTTGAACCTTTACTGGAAACCATAACTTGATCACTAATTCCTGTTACCCTCCTTCAGCTCCAGGCCTTCTCTTGGCAGTTAATCTCAAGGAATTTTTGTTAGGCTTTTCAAACAGTAAATAATTGTTCTTCCTGTCTCCCCTGAATGGGGAAGCATTAAAACTTAAAATAACACAGTGAGAGGTAGCCAAGGTTTGACGTAGTAGGAAGAGTTAGCATTAATGCTGCGAGTTCCTAGGAGCAAACAAAAATGTCTTGGAAGGGATTGCCTTACAAAAGTGCGTCTCAGATGTGTGGATGTGACAGCTCAAAGGTGTGCCGTTACTAATCCATTAAACTGCTGATGTGCTTACACTCCTTAATGAAAGGAGTTGATACCTGTGCGGGTTTTAGGAGAGTATGTGCCCAGTGGAATAGTAATATTAACCCCAAGTATGTAACTCGAGTACTTTTAGCCACCCGTTCACTTCTGGGAGGAGGCTTTGACAAGTCTCCAAAGGTACCAATGAAGAAGAGTTCACAGAATCACAGAATGGTTGAGATTGGAAGAGAGTTGCTTTTAAATTGGTCCTACACCAGAGATTGTTAGAAATCCTGAACCTAATTCTATCAGCTTTCTCACAGAGGCTTCATTTATAAACGAGAGCCACAAAATCTGTCCTGCTGACCTCAGAGGAGAGGGCAGGAATGCCTCTGAGCTCAGAAGCAGGAGGTGGTGGTAACTTCCAAGTTGTCCCACTGCTCCCTTGCAAGTCAGGCTAGTCCCGTTCCGGGTGACTTCACAGTGTTGGTCTTGGCAGACCTTGCTGGCTGATTTTTCTCACGTAGCTGAGGATATGGGTTAGCTACAGTCCCTGTCTCAGCACCACCAACATGTAGAGCTGCAGTTGAATTGCTTGCAGCTCCCATGGAATTTCAGAAGTGGTTTGGCCCCTACTGCTGCAGCCCTGCAAGAATCTGTTGCAGCTTTCATTGTACACAGCTCTGTGCTGTGTGGAAAGTCACATATTGTATAGATGGTGGTAGAACTGGTGATTAATAAGGTAAGGCATGTCCCACTGCTTTCCCCAGTCCTTTTTAACACCTTTCTGCTCTCTTGTTCTAGGTGTTCAACAACATTTTGCGTAAGTGTGGCTTGCAATGTGAAGGAGCCTCTGCTGAGCCCCAGAAATTGGAAGAAAGAATAAATGTGACTCCCGGGAACATGCCCCTCCAGGTGAACTGTTGCTCCGTGCCCTTTACTGTTTGTGGTCCTGCAGACTGAACAGTTTGTGAAGCACTGAGACCACAGAGGGTCATTCTGTTCCCATGTAGCTCGTACAGCATGTCAGTGTGTCATTGTTTCTCTGCTTGTCATATGACTTGATGAGAAAGCCTTTCCACCATGAGTTTGTTGCTTTGATCATGCATTTCAAGCATATCCATCGTATCATGAGTTCTTTTTAAATGTGGCTTTTTTTTTTTTCACTTAACCAGCTTATAAGCAGTGTAACAGCATCTGACAAATCTCTAAGTGATCCTGGTAGGGATCAAAATTGGTCTTTTCTTCAGAAATGCTTGCTTAGCAACAGTATACCTTAACTCTAGTTAATTAATAGTGTGTTTTGTTTGTTTTTTTTTTTTTTTTTGTGCTGGGTGCTGACACAGGTCGTATGGTCTGTCATGTAGGGGTTGTTATAGCTGTCCTGGAAATGCATCTTGCACTGAGGTGTACCACTGAAATCACCTCCTGTTTTTAGGAAGCCTTGTGTGCTTTTTCTCTCTATAATTGTTCTTTCTCTCTCAGGAGCTGAAGGATATTGTGCTGTACTTGTGTGACACTTGCACAACACTCTGGGCGTTCCTTGATGTCTTCCCATTGGCTTGCCAGACCTTTCAAAAACACGAGTTTTGCTACAGGTACATCTTGGGCTGCAGACAGAGCTTATTTTGGTGAAGTAAAAATACTGAATGTGCAGCAGTATCCTGTCCCAGTGCCTTTATGGACAAGAGTGTACAGATTAAATGCAACTAAAGACTGCTAGGTTCAGACCTGTGGGAATACACAGGCTCTAGGTAGATAACACAAAATTATAGGGGCCCCTAGAATATTTTGTGTTATACGTTCACCTTCAGTCATATCCATGAGTGATCCTAAGGTCAGGCAACCTTGACGATTTCAAAACCCAGCGTGCTTTTGAAAGGAAAGGATGGGGAGGGACAAGCAGAAAACTCTGCGTATGAAAATGGTTTCCTGCCGTAGGACCTGAAACGTGGGAAGTAGAAAGGCTTTTGGAGTAACAACAGTCCGTCCAGGTCTGAAAAGAAACATTTTTTGTTGTTGTTATGCCTAAGTTTTATGCTAGAGAATATCACTGAGCTTTGGCAAAAGCTGAGTGCCTTGGAGAGGGTGACGAGCCAGCACTGTCACAGCTGGGCTGACAGCTAATTCCCTGCCCAGCTCTGGTTTGCAGCGACGGTGAGTCAGGATGGTCACAAGGACCAGACAGCAGAGTGTTCCCACAGAGGCTGCGAGTCCTTGAGTGACACTTTCCCAGCTTGCTCCGGGTGTTTTAAGTCCCCTGATCACCTGGTGGATTCCCATCACTTTGTTTAGGACCAACTGAAATGCTAATTTATTCCACTTAATTCCCTTGTTCTGCTTACTTGTGTGAACGAACACTTTTTCTTTTTACTTTTGCTTCCAATCCTGTTGCAAACCTCTGAAGTCTTGCAGCTGTCAGTGGTTTATGGACCGCAGGTTGAGTAATGCTGCTCCAGGGTGTGTAGGCTTCTATCCTCTGATGTTGTTGTCGAGTCAGTTATTGAAAGGAGAGCAGATTGGTGGGCTGTTGGTGGCTGAGTTGGCAAGCAGTGCTGCTTGCACGCTTGGTTACTCAGAGGAGGAAAGCCTTTTGCTTTTTATTCTGCTGTTGATGTCAGAGATGTGCTAAAATACTCTTGATCTCTGCAGTGGGACAGCAGCAACATTTTCATTACTTCTCAATATGGACTAGTCACCGGGTCTTTGGAGTATGGGGAGGGGAAACTGATCTGCGTGTCATATGTTTGGAGCCAGTCTGGGCCTGAATTGTTGGCACGTGCTAATTTATCTCCATGACTAAAAGTATCAACCAGCTTCTGCTGCATTTGCCTCAAGGATATTCATTTAATGTGTTTGGCACCTAATATGAAACGTGGATATAATGTTCCCATGGAGGCCCTGCTCATCAGCTCAGCAGGCTTGGCTTTTGCGCAAAATGCTGTAAACCTTTTATTTTGTAACACCCAGCCACTCAGGAAGCAGCACTGGTTATTATTCTGTGAGGACACGCTTCTCCACATCTCTTGATGCTCTGTCCCTGAAGAAAAGGGTCTGAGTGGGCTGTCTGACACAAACCATGAAACTAGACCAGATAAACCTGTGTTTCCTCTCTGTCCATCCTACTGAAACATCCTCTTAGGCTTTCTGCATGTTGGATACCTTCATCTAAATGCTCGCTCACAGCAGAGACAAATAGCAAGACCAATAAAACTTTGTTGGAAATCGCACCCTGTTTCATAACCAGTTTTTAGGTAGGGCCACAGGAATATTGGGGTGGGAGGGGTTGTCTTGGGACAGACTCAGCTCTTTGCAGACTGTGAATTTGTGCTTGAGATTTTTCTCAGCTGAGCAGATTGGTTTGTCTTTTTAGTAGCAGGATGCTTTTCAAATGCGTTTCTTTGCCTTTATTTTTAAAGATACGTTGATTGTTTCCTCAGGCTGCTGCTCTTTGTCTATTGTGTATTTGCTTACTTGTGTTTCAGGAAACAAATGGCAAAATGGGTAATGCCAATGAGGACTGCTAGTGAGGAGTGAAATTAAGCGTTTGATTTGTTTTTTAGTGTTGCAAATGATTTTGGAAACCTCAGCTGATAGTTACCATTTTGTTGCCTCTTTCTACAGATTAGCATCGTTTTATGAATTGGCCATTCCTGAGCTGGAGTCTGCAATTAAGAAGAGGCATTATGAGGATAACAGGTGAAAATGTCTGCGAAGACTTGCCTTTTCTTTTCAGTAAGACTCTCTCAGGGCTTAGTTAAAAACGTACTTCATGCTGCTTTGCCCACCTCTGCAAAGTCTTCCTCTCTCTCTCTCTTTTTTTTTTTTTTATGCTGCATCAAAGAGCTCTGAAGAGGCAGCTCTTCTAATTCCAAATTTTCCTGGGCAGTGGGGTGACTAATGATTCTTTCACTGCTGTCTAAGAAGAAACTTGATGGGAGATGCATCCGAATTGTAACAAAGTGTGAAAATGGGAATGATATCTCTTTGTGTAGACTGGTCTCATTGCATTTCAAAGCACAGGCTGTGCTGATACAGCTGATATATCATGAGCCTGGCTGTCAGGACAATTGGCGATTGAGACCAACTGTATTTAGAGCATGGATTTTTCGTAGTGAGTATGGAATGACTCTAATCTCTGGTCCTTGCAGCAAATAAATGATTCAGCTAATGAAATCCCTTCTCTAGAGGGATAACTCTGGAGGAATGTTAAAGATTCAGGATTTCTTGTGCTGACACCAACAATGTGTTCTTTACTCTCTCTGAAGTGTTTTTGCTGATTTGTGGAGGAGAATTTCACATTCCAGAAAGAAAGTGATGGAAGCTTTTCACATCCTCATAAACCAAGTGTGTCTGCAGCCCATCTTAGAAAGCAGGTATTGGTGTTTGGGCTTCGTGGTACTAGCCAGCTACTTGATTTTTTTCCTATTTTGCAAATAGTTAACTAATAAGTACTTCCTAGCTATAGCTCTGTGAGTAATTTCAAAATGAAGGCAAGTATAACTACCCTTATTTTATAAATGAAAGAACTGAAATGACCCAAAACCATGCTGCAAATTCTGGGAGAGGACCAAGAACGTGGATCTCGATGGCAAGCCCAGTGCTCTACTGGGGAGATCTCTTTGCTTGTGCTCTTTACAGGTTTCATAGATTGCTGGCCTCCGTGGCTCCCATTCTGCTTTTTCTTACTGGTTAATACTGACCCAATGCAAAGGGTGTTCTGTCCTGCTGCGAGGCTTGATGCATCAGCAGCAATGGAAGGTTTAGGCTTTATAACAGAAAGGTTGCAGCAGGAGCTTGCTTGGCATCTGTTCCTGCATAGTAAGCGCATATTTCCTGGGAGGTTCACTGGTGTAATCCCAAGACATATAATACAGTGCAATTGCAAAAGTGCTACACACCCTTTTCTGCTTATTGCAGGTCTGAGGCATCAAACAATGATTTGTGAAGTCTGTTGAGCCTTGTAATTGTAACTGTGATAATGCTTTAGATCTAACTGGCCAACATGTTTGCTGAAGCCATAAAAGAAGCTTGTTTCCATTTGACCCTTTGCATCAATGAAAGCCAAGAAGTGAACTGAAATTTCTTTTAAAATGGGATTTTGCCTTGATGTATGAGCGTTACTAGTTTGAGCAGAATGTGGAGATTGTGCAATGTGGTAGGCTTACCGCTGAGTTTTTCACTCTGTGCCATTGTTTCATGCAGCTGTGAGAATATTCAGCCTTTTATTGAAGAATTTCTACAGATCTTCACGTCAGTGCTTCAGGAAAGGAGGTGAGTCTGGCTTAAAAAAAGGCCCAAGGGGAGGGTCAGTTTGCCGCCTTCTTCCATTCTTTACACCAGAATTGCCCAAGACATTATTATGAGGAGTTACGATGCATTTGGGAGTTAGAAATCACTCTAACTAGCTGGGAGAGCTGCTGTGAGAGGATTTCCGACTGCGGTACAGACTTTATTGTAAAGACGAGGAGGATGTTGTGTGACGCTGAAGAATGTTATTCTTCACTCTCTTTAATCCTGACTTTCAAAGTGGAGGATAGCAATTTAGTCATTAGCTACCTTGACAAGCTAGGCTGTTATTACTAATCTGTGCTTTTCAGCTGGGGTGATCAGACCAGAAAGTTATTAAGTGCTAATGCTGAAGGTGCAAAGTAAATGGCAGAACAGGGAATTTGATCTTGTCCTCCTGGCACTGCTGTCATTCTGCTCACGTTCAAATCATAAACCGTATTTTCTCTATAATGCAGCACTGGCTCACGGCTCGAAGCATCGGAAGGAGCGTTACAGCTGGCTCTGATGGGTTACTGGGAAGTGTTGCTGCAGTGTAATGGGAGCAAAACCAGACAGGGCAGCACGTGTTGGAATTCCTGAGCGGGTGGGAGGCTGTACACGTTCTTGCTACCTGAGCAGTGAGGAGGCCAGAGTGGCATAGCAGGGATGCCAGGATGTGGCAGGTCTGCAGTTAATTAATTCTTTAGTTCAGCTGATTAAACTTGCCTCTGCATGTTTAGATTTCTTCGTGACTATGATGAGCTGTTTCCCGTTGAAGATGATGTCAGTCTGCTTCAGCAGGCATCCTCCACGCTGTATCCTTTGCTCTCACCATGTTTTGCAAACCTGGACACTCTCCTAGATTCTTCCATGGCAGTGGCATTTCTGCTATTGCTGCCTCTGGTTAAGCTGAAAGACCAGCAACAAAGGATTGAAAAACCTTCTCTTAAAAAAAGAGACAGCGGGGAATCACAGTATCACAGAATGGTGAATGTTGGAAGGGACCTCTGGAGGTCACCAGGTTCAACTCCACGTAGGCACGGGCTTGGGAATTACTGTAAAATGCATAGCTACTTCAAGGTGAGGTCTGAATATGAGCATCTAGAACGTGAGAAACTTCCTTAATGCTGTCCTCTTAGAGATGAAACCAGGACAGCCTATATCCTCCAAGCAGTGGAAAGTGCTTGGGAAGGTGTGGACAGGAAAAAAGCACAAGTCACTAAGGATCCAACATCACCAGCAGCATCTAATGGAGCATCAGCAATGGTGGAGAGCACTGCTGAGGACAGAGAAGAGCTTGGGGCTGCGTATGCCTCAGAGGATGAGGTGGGTAGAGCACCTCTCTGTCCTCACTTTGTCTATGAAGAGAGGATTGGTTTGCTCAGCTTTTGGGGTTGCGTGAAATCTAACCTTTGCTAGATGTCTTACCTTTGCTAGATTTTGGTGCAGACGAAGTACAACTACACCTGAATCCTGGCTTTATCTTTAAGTAAATTTATTTGAAATCCCGTTGGCCTGGATTTCCCGTTGCTGTTTTTTTCAAATGCTGTGCTTCATCATTGTAGGTCTTGTGCACATTTTTAAAATGCGTATTTCATATGTTATCTGAGGAAAGGATTTACCAGAGTGTTCTTGCTGACTCAGGGACAGACAGAAGTGGTTGTGTGGCCAACTCCGTCATAGACTTTGTATCATATAAGCAACTTGGCTGCTTTCTCTTCTTTTGACTTCAGTCTTTGAATTCTTTGTTTAAATCCTGATAACCAAGACCGCTTCTTTCTCTTTTTTAACGTGTATCTACCTTTCCCCAGCTACTGCTTTCCAGTAATGCCACATGTTCTGTTTGGTTTATGTAGTGTGCTGGTGCAGCTGCTGCCCCCCTTACCAAGGTGTCAGGGGTGGAGCTGGACTCCCTGATCTCTCAAGTCAAAGACCTGCTGCCAGACCTTGGTGAGGGCTTCATCCTGGCCTGCCTGGAAGAGTACAGTTACAACGCAGAGCAGGTGATCAACAACATACTTGAAGATAAGCTGGTGCCATCCTTGGAGAAGTTGGACCGAACGATGCGAAGGTGTGGGACAGGACTTTGGTGCTGTTTTAGTGCCTTTTGATTTTACACTGTGGTTATTATTTAATAGCCTTCCTTTTGAAGGTTAGACACCTGTAGCAGAAAAGTTCTAAGAAGTTGTATTTTCTTGGAGTAGGTAGCTGCAGAGAGAGCTGCTCCTTGCCACGTGTCACTGACTTCCTACCCTCGTTGTGTCCTTACGCAAGATGGGAACATTCACTGTTCAGCATTTCAGTACAGCAGATGCTGGGTCATGTTTTGTGATGGGAGATGAAAATACTTGTCCATTAAACTCTCAAATATTAAAATTCCATTCTAGGGACATTGGCTTAGCCTGGGCTGAGCAATAGAATGCTGTTGTCTCCAAATGTTATTTTGCTGTAGAGGACAAGGTTATAGATGTTCAGGTGCTAGCTCTCCTGCAGAAAAAGGCATCTTCAAAGGAACTAACAGAGGTGAAATTCAATCTGCAGGGCAAAATATGGTGTTTGAAAGGCTACTGTTCTGTGGATGAGGTTGAACCAGGGAGATTGTCAAAGGGTAGATAAAAATGGATCTGAATTGCCATTTCCAAACTTGCCAGGCTTTTGCTTGCTTCTCTGGGTTGTACATGAGATTGTAGGGTTTGTAACTGGCAGTGGAATTGAGTTGTTTTAGTCGTCTGCAGCTGCTAGCATGTGTTTGTGCTGCAACAGCAGTTTCTGACTAAGTGTCAGGATGTGAATGTGCTGTTTGCTCACATTTCATGGAGGAATAGGCAGACTGCCTCATTGTTGCATTAAAAAAGGAAAGCATCTTTATCAAAAAGGTGACGTAAAAAAAATCTGAGTTCTGCAACAATCTTCATGCTCTTAGAGTCGGATCTGCTGACTCTGGCACAAATGACGTGGGGTGGGTTTTTGGAAGGTTCTTTTTTTTTTCTGCTAGTACTGCAAAGCTTGCAGTTACAGAAGATAGAGCTGGATGTTTTTTCTTGCCTTCTGCATTTTGAAACAACTGTCAGTTCCGTAGCAAATGTACAGTTCTGATCACTGCTGATTTTGGAAGTGAACACAGCAGCATTTTGGGATGCCCAGCTGAGCTAGCAGCACCAACACAATGAATGTAAAGACAATGGTTTTTTGACTTACAAACTGAACAAACGTAACCTGGAACTCTGAAACAAAATTAAAACGTAGCCACAGAGAGATAAATATCCCGAATTCAGCAGCAGGACACAATTGCAATGTTTGCCACTGTGTAATTCATCATATTTAGTGTTTGACTTCACTGAATTGCCGTTTTGAGACCAGTCTTTTAAGTAATTCATGCTCTTGAACAGCTCAACTTACCCTTTAATGAGCAAAATAATTTCCTTTTTGCCTTCTGTAAATTGCTTTTGGTTTCCCCACAAAGGTAACTTTCAAAAACTGTGGCTTTTATCTGAAACCAGTGCCATGTAGTGGTTGTGCACATACCATACTGCAGCAGTAAAACAAAGGGATTACAGTCTGTGTCCCAGTCAGCCAGCAGCACAGTGAGGATCATGGCATGCAGTGGATGCCTGTGAGAATGGTAGAGGATAAACCAAGGTCTTAGGAAGGAGAGCAGTTGGTTTTCCTCATCTTCACCTCTGTTTGCACTCTCTCTTTTAATTTATTTTACAGACAGCCAAAGCCAGACCCTACACCTCTACTCAATTCCCGCCATAATGTTTTCCAGAACGATGAGTTTGATATTTCCAGTAGGGATTCAGTGGACGTTTCTCGGATACAAAAAGGCAAGCGGTGAGTACTGTGCATTTTTAATTAACCCCGTCTGTCAGGAGGAATGAACCTACAGATTTGTTTCTGCAGGAAGTTGTTGGCAGGGCTAAGGCTTATCAAAAATGTTTCCCACTTGTTTGCTCTTTTTCTCTGGGAAAGTAAAATTGAATACTACCAGGGGTTGATTTCAGTTCAGTGTTTTTCCTAATTGCCTTTCCTCTGTACGCTGCTGGCAATTGCTCTGCCAAGCTCATTTGTAATGTTTTGTTCTCTTGGTCTTAATGTTAAACCTGCACTGAAGAACAAACCTGAAAAGCAACCATCTCTACTAGCCTGAGGTTGTGACTCAGAGATAACACAATGGTTTGTTTTAGATACAAGTGAAGTTCCAATATCCATCCACTTCCAAATCTGATAACGCTGGGGGGTTAGACTCCCTTTGTTCCTGCTGCTCTAAGCCCCGCAGAGAGGCATTTACCTCACTTTTTGCCTGGTTTGGCATTTTGTTCTGTGCCACACTCCCTGCCGATTTCCTCTTGGCTCCTGCTAGTGTCAGCCGTATCTCAATAATATGCTTGATTTGTTTCAGATTCTTTTTGAACTCTTTTTCCTCTAATCAGTTAAGTATGATCTTTATGTTGGTATGTATGAACAAGGAATCCAAATAAGAGTGGCTGCAGGCTGAGCCGCGTGACCCTGGGAGCTCCCAGTTAGTGCTTTGGTTACAAAGCTGCATCAAATATCGGGAGAAAACCGCTTTTGTCCCAAAGTCCAGTCAAACAGTTCTTCAGCAGCAGCACTACAGTGACTAGGCAAGGAAATACTTTTTTTCCTCTGAACAAGATAAAGACTTTAGAAATGCCCATAGCTCAGAATTCCCAGGCACAATATTGTCTCTCCCTCCGCATCGTGCTAGTCAGCTCGGAGTGCAGGCAGACACCTTGTCTGCAGGAGTGTCGTGCACTGGTATGCTTGGGTTTTTATTCCGTGTGGGTGGCTGCTGAGAGCACTCCCCGGGTCAGGTTCAGCGCCGTGCACCCTGTCTGTGGAATAACCCAGCGGGGAGCTCCCTCTGCAGATCACTCGCAGAGCTTCCTAAGTTGTAAGTCATCCCTCAGCTGGGTCGTGGGACCCTGTTCCCACAGCACTGCCCTCTGGCTGCTGCCAAGGAGGCCGTGTCTTCTCTCCAGGGGTAACACTACCCCTTGAGAAAGCTGACATCTCTTCTGCCATACTGTTACGTGACCTCTTACTGCTGCTGTTCCTGGCGTCGCCTGGCATCCCTCAGGCTATGTCTTCATTTCAAAGCCATTCTTAAACAGAGAGAACTCTGCACAGGACTCCAGACTCCTCATTATTTATGCTTTGAATGGTTCTTAAAACCTGAAGGTAACTAGCTGAGATCAGCAATGTGTGCCCTACACCTAAAGCTGACTGTATCTTTCTAAATCAAAGAGTAAGCTCTGGTACCTTGCTCGCTGGGATTTAACATTCAAAACTCCATAAATATGAGGAGTGTGTCCTTTCAGCACTGAAAGTGCAACTTTTTCAGTAGACGTCTTTGTTCTACAAGCAGGAAACCCAGGTGTCTGGGTAACAGAGTTTTTCTAACACAGTCTGAGACCTGCGCACAACTCCGATTGTATTTATCTATCCGTATTGTTCTCCTTAAAACCCTTTCCTCTCCAAATTCTGCTTCTGTTCAGAGTGCCACTGCTGCTATGCATGGTGTTGCAACAGTGCTTAAAGAGCCAGAGCAGGTTGGGCCCCGTTGCGCTAGCTGCTGTGTGGATAAGTGTGAGCAGTTTGGGGCAGGGACTGTTAATAAAGGAGAAAGCCACACCAGGATGAGGAGAAGAACAGGCATGAGGAAATGAATATAATAGTGTCTACGTGATGCTTTGCTGATCTGGAAGGGTGATCACGGCTGTTTCTGCATGTCCAGCCGTAATCACCAGGTGAATCTGTCTCTTGAAGTCAGAGCATGTCTCAAACACCAGAAAAAAAATTTCCCACTGTTTTTCCTGGAATTGCTGCCTGAAACATCTCGTTGCAGCTTTGCTGCAGTCATCAGACCAGCTCAGCAGGAAACAATTATTGAATGTTTAGTTCAGTCTCATGCTGAATACCAACACGAGATGTTATCCCCGCCTAGGTATGTGTGAACTAACCACATGCTCTGTAGGGCATTTTGCAGTTAAATTTCAGGCATTTAACAATGAGTCATGGAAGAGAAGGGAGGCAATATATCTATAATGTTACTGTACCTTGAGGTTCTTAAGAAAAATCAGGCTTCTTAGATCGCTTCCCCAGTTCTTGCTAGAATATCACACAGGTCTACCCATTCTTGATTCACAAAAGGTTTGCTTTGGAAAGATTCTTTCTCTGGTAATATCCAGATGCCAAATAGATCGCTGATGCATGTTACTCCTAAACTTTGGGGGCTGCAAAGTGTCCCGTGAATACTTTAAAGTGGATTTCCTATTGTTTGCTATAAGTGTGTACTTGGTTGGTCTGAAAAACAGGACTTCAAAGAGCTTCCTTGTGCAGCTTGAGATGTAGCATCTCAGTGGCTGTTCTTCAACATTTCTGCCAAAACTTCTGTTTCTTGGTCTTTGATTCTTTAAAATGACTACTGCTTACTTGCCTTCTAAACGTTCAAAAAATTGTACATGCAGTGCCTTGATGTGTTAGATCAGCAGCACAGATCCGCTGTTTTGTTTTTCTCTTCGTTGTGCTAATCCTTATTTGCTGCAGAAGTATTTTAGGGGGGTCTTCCCATCTACGTTCATATTTTGCAACCCATATTTTGTAAGCTGAGGTTCTAGGCTATGGGAACAGGTATGGCCGTGCAGCTCTGGTCTGCAGTGTGTAACTAGGCATGCTGCTGCAGTGAGACAGTACTGCAGCGTGGTTTTAGAGGGCACTCTGGGCCTCGCAGGGCTGTTTCCTAACCCTAACAGTCTGCCATTCAAGATTCCTGTGAATTCTTGTGTTATTTGGGTCTTGGCCAAAATTCAGCTCGAGTATAATTGCACTTGGCCTTCTGTTAAACCTTCCCTTCTGTCCCAGCTGACAGTGGCAGTCTCCAATTCCTGTTCCTATCTACTGTGTAATCTTGCTGGGCTTCTGTTTAAAAAATGACTTTGTTCCAAGCCAGGAGTGGCTGACTTTAGAAGCCCAACCAGTCCCGGTACAAATCAGAGGGGGAATAGGAAGGCTGAAGTGGTGCTTGCGAAGTTTGGGGTGGGTCTCGTATTGCTTCAGCTTCTACTTAATAGCAGGAGAAAAAGTAACTTACAGAGATCTTGACGCTGCCTTTTTGTCTGCCCCTTCCTTTCCATGCTGTGGAGTGCAGCAGGGAGAAGGAGACGACCAGGAGTTTGCTGAACGACAAGCGCCTGATCGCTGAGCAGAAGGAGCGCTACAGCCAGTACAGCGTGGTCGTGGAAGAGGTTCCTGTGCAGCCAGGGGAAGCTCAGCTCTACAGGGAGGACTATGAGGACGAGTACGATGACACTTATGATGGAAACCAAGTGGGGGCGAATGATGCTGACTCGGATGATGAGCTGATCAGCAGGAGGTAGGTGCTGGGGCTTCAGTGTGTGCAAAATTGATGGGAATTTCCTTTTTTAGTTGCTGGTGCTTTCTCTGTCATGTGTGAGGAGGGATATTGGGTCTCTCCTTCTCCCTTGTTGGTAGGGAGCTGTTCTGTGGCGTGCACCCAGGAAGTTACCAAGCTCCCACATTCTGTGTCTGCAGGATTTGGCCATCACCTCTGCTCTGCATCCAGATCTAAGAGGGGACTTTGACATTGTGCTGGAACTTGCACTCAGCAGTGCTTCTGTTTATAGGATAACTGCCCTGCAGCAGGGGGGAAATGGGCTCTCTGGGATGATGACTGAGTGTAGCTGGGCAGCGTAAAGTAAAATGGCTGGTTAGCAAAGCAAAAGCTTGAAATTTCGGAAATGGAACAAGTGGAGTTTTACTCTGTGCCAGTCCCCTCTGGCTTCTCGTGCTGCTTCCTGGAATTCAGCCTGCGACAGACTGCACAGCTCTCTGCACAGCGCCTGGCAGCTGGAGGCAATCAGCTTTTAGTGAGCAAAGGGTTAGTTTGGCACGGGTCTTGTAGAATATTTGTTTTAGAAATATGAGCTAGAGGTAGAAAAGACATTTTACAAGCTGGTTTAATGTTTCTGAAGGTGACCTTTTAAATTTTGGTGTGTTATGAGTATGTCACTATTTCCAGCCTAAAGCCAAAATGCATCTGGCAGGCGATTTGGTTCATTTTGCCTTTTTTTTTTTTCCTCCTAAAGCAGGTTGAAACCAATTCACATCCTTTTTGTGGTTTGCCTTTAACGGTGTGGTCCTCAAGTCTCTTCCTGTCTTTCAGATGCTCAGTGCTCTCTGCTTCTAGAGAGGCAGCAGGAACAATTATTGGATGTCATTGCTGAAAATTAGAGCTATAGGTTTGAAGGAACAGAGACTCATTTAGTTCTACGTTTATTTCTTGACAGTGGACTGGTGGATTTGAATCCCAATAGAATTTAAATAAATAAAAATAAAGCCACACACATCAAAGTAGAGCTATAGGCACGTGCTGGATTTCCACTCACCCCCCTGCAGGCCCTTTGTGCTGCTTTGCATGTTCAGGGTGATTCATAAAGCCTGATGGATCTCTCCAAGCATTTCCCCCTGTGTGAAACTGGGGCACAGCAGTGGAACTGGGGCTCTGGATAACCACCAGCCAGCCCTAGTGGTTTCAGAGCACAAAGCTTTCTGAGCATTAACGTGTTTCTGGCTGTTTGAGCTTGAGGTTTGAGGGTTTGCCTTGCTACAATAGATGCTCCCTAAACGGTGAGCTAAAGCTAAAGGACAAGTCCACTGCTCCTTACTAATGCCTGGTGGGGTGCCTGGCGCCCCTTCTCCCAAAGGAAGCAGTCATTTCCCTGGAGAAATTCCTTGTAAGGTTTCAGGATTTATTTAAAAAAAATAAAATAAATATTTTGTGTGTGTTAATTGCCCATAGTAAATATTAGCTACTGAATCTTTTTTTCTCCAGAAAAAGAGGCAAGTCCATGAAACTTGTGTATCGTGTTTTTGAAAGCAATGCTGTGAAATGAAAAGGGCGTGCTGTGCTGTGCTGTTCAGCGAAACACTTGTGGCTGTGCTCTCTTCATTGTTTGCTGTGTGTGTCTTAATTCTCAGGCCATTCACAACTCCTCAAGTCTTGAGACCAAAAGGACAGGAGGAAGGACAGGAAGATGAGGAAGAGGATGAAGAGGAAGAGGAAGAAGCTGAAAAGGAAAGACCAAAGGTGACATTTAGTTTGCTGTTGGAATTGCATTAAGGTTCATCATACATCTTACCAGCTTCACCTGTTAATGTTTGCCAGAGATGATGGGAATTGATTTCCTCTTTCAGAGAGGGAATCTTTTAATGTTAGCACGGAGGACTGAGCTGCTTTCCAGAGAGGCTACTTCTGTGGTGTGCTGGACTGTGAAATGTCCCCTGAGTACAGCTATCTACAGCTTCCTAGGCTAGCCTTACTGGAGTGATGACACTTACTCCGTGGAGAGGTTTAATCTCCTTTATTCTGTAGACAGACGATGCCAGCAGAATGGTGTCAGGGTCACTGAGGCTCTGTTGTCATGGATATCCTGGAGATGGGGGTGTTAGTGGTGTTGCTGGCAGAGGTAGGATGTGGGAAGAAGTCTGAGGTTTTCTGCCAGGTTTTGTGTTTAGTGTCACTGACAGCAACCCTGTGGGTTCTGCCATATAATGAATAATGAATTCTCTGTTCCGTGGTCTGACAGAACTGCTCCTGCTCTCACTCTGAGAGTGATGCTGGTGAGTTTACCCCAGCACTGACCTCTTTCCTTCCTCCCCACGGTAGGACCACTTCGTGCAGGACCCAGCTGTGCTGCGGGAGAGAGCTGAAGCCAGGCGGCTGGCTTTTCTTGCGAGGAAGGGGGGGTAAGTGAACATCTCCCTCTGTGGGGTGTGAAACCACAGCTCTGCTGGTGCTAGTGAATATCTTGCTGCTGACTTGAGTGGTTGAGGAGCCGTACCTGTTCCTTAGCATTCCTGTCTTCAGGGTCACCACCATGCTGGTGGTAACGTCCTTGCCCAGCTTTTACTTCCCTGCTGGTTGTGCTATCTCATCAAATGGGGTGGCACGTCCCTTTAACGTAATCGGCATAACCCCATGCAAGATTGGATCTTGGAAAGCACGGCTTCCCTGGAGCCTGAACAGCTCCCGCAGGGATTTCAGGGCAGTGTAATCACTGACAACCTCAGAGCATAAAAGGGTGGAGTCACTGCGTGGCTGACGCTGAGACTCGGCCACTGCAGAAACCCTGCAGAGCTGAGGTGAGCCACGGCTCGGGGGCTGACGGCTCAGCTCCTCGCTCCCAAGTCTGTTCTTAAATGGTGCATTTCATTCTTCATGCATGCAGTGTGCTTGTTGTAACGTCCTTCTCCCCGTGCACTGCAGGCACAAGCACGACAGCTCTGCTGTTGTTGGGAACGTGAAGGGGCACGGGCAGAACCGGGAAACGGTGCAGGAACGAAGGAAGAAGGAAGCAAATAAAAGCACAAGAGCTAATCACAATCGGCGAGTCATGGCTGACAGAAAGCGGAATAAAGGCATGATTCCTTCCTGAAGGACTTCCCCAGGTGTTGCATCATCCCCAGTCCTCTGCTTTGGAGGCAGTTGTGCTCCGTTCCCCTGGCCCTCCCTTAGCTCAGGGGACTGGATGTCGTGGTCCAATACCTGGCACTTCAGCTCGATGCGGAATTGCACACCCCGTGGGAGGGCTGCACGTCTTGGAGAGGAGCTGCCCGCCCCCAGGCACACCCTGTGGCTGATTTCTGCTCTGTGGAGAGGGGTGCGTGACAGCGGGCTGCACCCTGCTGCGTGGGGCAGGCTGCACCAGCCATTGGTTTCCTTTTGTACTATTTATAATTCGCAGAGGTTTATTTTCATACTGGCTCCTCCCGCCCTCGCTGCAACCCGAGGGGGCTTCCAGGCCACGTGGCTGGCTGCCCAAAGGGCAGCTCTGTGGCTTGTGGCAAGGCTTCCCCAGAGCAGCCCGTACAGCTCCCCTGAAATGCCTTACCCTGCAGTAAAGCATGAAGGCTGGCAGGAAAGCACTCGGGCTCTTGCCGTTGCTGACACCCGGGAGTTCAGGTGAATAAGGCTCTCATAAATTTCTGTCCCTCGAGTGAGGTGTGTGAAAACAGAACATGCAAATAAATGATTTAAATCTCGTAGTTGGTGTTTTAGGCTCTCACGAACTGTATCGGTCCTTAAGGAACGTCGCTACTGCGCTGCCTCTGCGGGCGATGGAATTCACTTGCTGCTTCGTGTTGGTTCAGTTAAATGAGCTCTGGCCGCTGAGACTCGAGGTGCTTGAAAATCAGGATCACGGCATCCTGTGTCAGCTAGCAGCAGCGTGGAAATGGGAGTTGAAGATAGCAGGGTCAGATTCCCCAGGGAGCTGCCTCCTGATAACTGCTTGTCACGCTCCGTGGAGCAGAACTGCCCTGCTCATCCCGTTTGCTGTTTGGAAGGCTGGGAGCCATTGGTAAATAGTGCTTTCTAGTTGCTGAAAGGGCTTTCCCTGAGGACTCTCTTTTGTGATGGAGTTGCTCCCTGCGCAGGGAGACCGGCACGTCCCTCAGCTGGCTCTGTAACCTCTCAGTAAGGTGCTCGAATGCCAAGGCATTGGCTGCTACACTGTGCCTAGGCGAGCCTGGAATCCCAGCAGCTGGTGGAAAGCTGCTCCAATCACTCTTGTCACAGAGCGTGTGTTTTTTTGTCCTCGTGGAGACAAACTTTCAGGTAAACCATTTTATTTTTGTTTGGTTAATGTGATCCAGAAACCCCTTCCCCACCACCGCGCTGTGTTTTTTCTGGTGATGAAGCTGCCTGTGGTCATCCCCATGCTGAATAAACTACCCCAGGGCTGTGTGGCGTTACAGCTCCTGGTCCAGGGTCACTCCAGTGCTGTCCTCCCCCTTCCCAGCGCCGCAGTAGCACTGGAGGCACCTACGTTGGTTGCTGCCTCGTTTTACACAGAGGGCGGGGACCCCATGGCTGGACAGTTCCCTGCTGCTGCCAAACAAGGTTGTGCCAGGCTGTTTCCAAAAGTGTAGCAACGGCTGTCACCATTATGCAAATCGGGTGAAGTCCTAAATGCTGCGGGGACGAGGTTTTCCTCTGCGCATCAGTACTGCCCCAACCTCAGATCAACAAGGCGCGGGAGAAAGTGGATTTCTGAGAAGCTGCTGAATGTAATTCCCTGTCAAGGGAAATTACCTGCTGGGATAACTAACTCTCTTTTCTTTTATAGCTACTGTTCTCCGGACTAATAGCTTCATTTATTCCTTGCCAGTCTGGTACGATGCAGTTTTCCCCTTCCTAATACTGCATTCAGCCTTAGTTCTGGCTTCTAAGAAGCTGCAAATCTCTATCACCTGCTCAGCATAGCGTGAAGCCATCAGCGCCTGCAGACAGGCCTCGTAGTAAAGCAGCACTCCTTTATGGGCTGAAATTACCCCAGGAAAGCTTAAACAGCTCCTCTTAAGCAGCTCTATAAAAGCACAGCTGGGACGCTGAAAGCTGGAGTTGTTCTTTGCTCAAAATCAAGCACAATGTTTTAAAGTCCTCTTTAATGTTCTTGGAGCAAATGTTTTACTCCTGTCTGGCACGTATTTACAAACACAATAAAGCTTCTCGCATTAGCGCTGGCTGTAATCTGCTCTGTCTCATCCATTGCTGAAAGTGCTGCTTATTAGGGAAAATACAGGAAATAAGGGGAAATATAGGAAGGAGGGAGAGGCGTGGGCTCCGTGTCCTGCAGCAGCAGGTTCAGGATGAGAGGTGCCCACCCTCGAGTCCTCACAGACGTTTCACTGCCCTTTCACTGCTGTGAAATGATGGAGGGCCATGAACCAGCACAGCCCTGCGTGAAAAAAGTAAATGAGTGGTTTGAAAGCCCCTGATTTAAGCCCCTGGTCTTTGAACAAGGCTGGAAGAACTCACAGGCAGAAGCCCAGGTTGTTGTGACAGGCCCGAGCTGTGTAAGTGCTTTCACAGCACGCTGAGAACAGCCTGCTTAGGGACCTGCACCTGGGGCTGTGTTTAAGCATTCTTCATCTCCTAGGTAGAGAGACTTAAGGCAGAACCAAGGACAAATCGAGTAAACGCATGAGCCTGAGACATGGGCCAAGAACTTTTTATTTTATTTAACACAAAGTTTCAACACAGCAGCAGAACTCCTGGAGTCCAACGCATTTTACATCATATCAGGAGGTGGCTGATACAATCTGGCTCGGAGGCGATCAGGAACCCAATTCCATTTTGATCCAGCTGGTTTCAGGACACCAAATCCTTCTCTGCAGTGTTTTTTGCCACCCCAGGCTGGATCCTGCTGCTGAGCGTTTCAGTTGTCACTCGCTTCATACTTGTGCTTGATGTGTTTCCACAGTTTCTGTATAAAAACAAAAAAATGAAATTAGCTCATGTTTCAACGGCGTTATGATAAATTTTCACTTTAAAGCAAGTTGTTCTGAAGCCTGCACTGGTAACAGACACTAGGGGACAGAAGAACCTGCAGGGGCACACGTCCTAGGTGACAGCTTACCCGCTGTGACAGGCACACCCTGTCCCCCAGCAGCACAACACAAAGGTTTCAGGGCACACAGCTGAGTGCCACCAGCCCGCTCCTTGCTCATGGAGCTCATGTGGAACAGACCTGGTGGCACCTTTTGTCCTCTGGTCCCTCTGGCTCCCCTCTCTGCCTTCCTGCCCTTCTGATGGGGCTTGCAAAGAGCAGCACACTGCCTGTGCTGGGAGGGCCGTGGGTGCTGCCCTGCCCCAGCTCCCCAGGCTGATCCTGACACAGGTGTGCGAGTCCTGCACCCAGTGGCCCTGGGAACAGACAGGGCAAGGCAGGAGCCCCCTCATCTCTCTGGCTCCACAAAGCAGAGCTGCCAGGAGCACTGCGCTCAGCACCAGGATTTGGCCCCCACACGAGCAGGCTGCTCTGCCTGGGGAGATGCAGGATGCACAAGGGAACCCAACCCTGGCTGGGAAATCTGGTGGTGTGATCAGGACTAACAGGAACACCGTGCGTGCTGCACTTTTCCTAGAAAACGCTTTAATATCTTTTTTTAAAGCTAATTTGGTTTTAAATCCCTGCTTAAGAAAACGTGAAGGCATAGAAGCTTAAAGCTACAATTAGAAAAGGAGCTGAGTGCTCAGTTCAAACGTAACATCACAACAACGACTGCTGCTAAGAAGCCGGGGCCCCTGCTCTCATTCTGAAGAAAACAAGAACAAGATTTTCTGCATTTTCTCAGCTCTGTCACCGCTCCTGGCACAGCTCCTCCAGCAGCGTGACCCCGCCTCTCTCCGTGCTGTTCCCCGCTGCCCTTTGAGCCCGTTCAGAGCCCGAGCAGCCAACGCAGGACTCGGGACAGCTCCACCCAGCACGGGCAGCGCCTCGGCGGCCCCTCAGCACCGAGCCCTGAGCGCCGAACACGACCCGTGAGGCCTCAGCGGCCGCCCCGTGAGGCGCGGGCAGGGCCGCGCTGACCTTCAGGGCCCGTCCCCGCGTCGGGATCGGCTCGGGGCCCGGCCTTACCCCTTCGTTGAGGTGCTCGAAGATGGCATCGGCCCCCTGGTCGAAGGCGCGCTCGAAGACGACGGCGCCCAGCACGATGCTGAGGGCGAAGGTGGAGGTGCGGCGGAACAGCGAGCTGTACGCCTGCCTCAGCAGCGCCATCTTGGCCGCGACTACCGCGCCTGCGCGCCGCGGGGCACGCTGGGAAATGTAGGCAAGCCGCGGGGGGTGCTGGGAGTTGTAGGCCGGAGGCGCGCAGCGGAGGCCTCGGGGGCGGTGAGCGGGGGGGGGAGGGAAGGGAAAGGGGGGGGGGCAACTGGGGCCGTGCCCTTCATCTTCATCCTCCTCCTCCTCCTCTTCATCCTCCTGTCCCTGCCCTTCCTCCTTCCCTTCCTCTGCCCCCCCTCCTCCTCCTCCTGCCCCCTCAGCCCTGCTCCCGCCCATTTTCCCCTCACTCTTGCCTTCGCTTTTGCCCCCCCCCCCCCCCCACCGCCCCTTATTTCTGCCCCTGCCCGCGGTGCCCCCCACAGACACGAGCTCAGGGCGAGGGGCCCAGCCCTGGAGTCACCCCTCCGCTCACCCCAGCTCCTCAACCCCTCACGGGGGGTCCTGGGCCCCTGGGTGCCCTGCTCGGGGGGTCCCTGTCCCTGTCCCTCTCCATCCGGGGGTCCCTCACCTGTGAGGGGCCTCGGGGTCCTCCATGAGGTGTGCAGGAATCCAAGAAAACACGAGGGGATTCACGAAGGCTCCTTGTGCCTCGACTTGCACCGGGTGAAACACCCGCTGGGTGTCACGGGACGTGGACGTTTTTTGTCCCATTTCATCCCAGAACGTGCTTCGAGGGGCTTAAGGTGGGGGATCCCGCCGTTAAGGCTTTAAAGCGTCGAGGCAGAAGACGGAGCCCTGATTTTTGTAATTGGATTTAGGCAGAAAGGCTTTAAATCTGCTACAAAGCCCGGCTGGCTGCGTGGGGGTGCAGGGGTCGCTTTGCCTGAATTCAGTTGCAAATCAGGGCCTAAAAATGAGAAAAGGAAGGGGGGAGCTGAGGCGGTTCGGTTCTTCATAAATCAGCCGGGTTTGGCGGTGATGGATTCCTTAGGGCACCGTTTTGGGGCTGAATAATGCCCTAATAACGCTCTTTGTTTACCATGGGAGCGGGCTGGGAGAGGGGCAGGAGGTCAGGCAGGGTAACCCACGCCCTGGGATTCTTCAAAAGATGAAAAATGAAAATATTCGGCGTGATCTGCGGAGGGGAGATCTCCGGCAGGACCTGGGGCTCCTCTGACTGCGTGTTTGTTTTTAATTATTATTATTATTATTTCATTCATCCCCTGCAGTGGGAATTGCTGTGCGATTTGGGAGCCAGCTCCTTTGGGACGTGGGCTCTGCCTGCCCGAAATCCTCAGGGGCTTTTCCCTGCTGCAGGGCAAGGACAGTAAGTCTGAATTCGGAGGCTGCTGCTCCAAGCAGAGGGAGCAAGGAGATTGCAGCAGGGAGATTTCAGCCCGGGCTGCTCTGCCCGCCAGGCCTGAGGACCTGAGGGAGGCCGTGATGGGTTCTGACCGGGTTTGATTTATAAAATCTTTATTCCTCGTGCCATTTGTTAAATGTGTTCGGCTGTCAGGGCGCCCAAAGCTGGATTGTTGCCTGGGGGGCTCCTCTGCCAGCCCATCCATCTGCAGCATTTATCAGGCATCCCTCGGTGCCTGCCTCCCCTTGCAGGGCTGGACACGGGGAATTTCCTTCCTCTTGCTTCGTGCCGTGATTTGTGCCTCCGGGCAGAGATCCTGGACCTCTTGGGCTCCTGGGGCTGCTGTGGGCTGAGCCCCGGGGTGCTGCAGCACGAGGAAGGCACTCGGCAGACCCGAAATAATTGGAGTTGTTCTCCTTTCCAGCAGGTGCTGTGAGTCTTGGATCCCCCGGCACGTCCCCGGGGCGAGGATGTCTGATGGCTCCCGGGTGGTGCTGAGGCTGCTGAGCTGGAAGAGAGATGGGGAAAAGGTACTTCTGTGATTACTGCGACCGCTCCTTCCAGGACAACCTCCACAACAGGAAGAAACACCTCAACGGAGTGCAGCACCTGCGGGCTAAGAGGGCCTGGTACGACTTGTTCCGAGGTGGGTGCTGCCTGCCCCTTCCGTCCCAGGGCTGGGGGGGTCGGGTGAAACCGAGCTGCAGCCCTTGATTTTCCTCGGATTGGTAAAATCCCTCGTCCTGGCACTGATGGTTTGTCTCGTCTTGCCTCTGGATGTCTCCAGACGTTGCCATCGGGTGGTGCAAGTTCTTCAACAGCCCCTGGGAGCGGCCCTAGCAGGGGGCCCTCCCCAGTGCACCCCTGCAAGGTGGAGGACCACGGCACCGGGGTCTGCTGGAAGCTCAGCTCAGGGTTCAGTGGGGTTTCTGAGAGCCCTGCTGACCTGCCTGGCCTTCCCGTGCTCCACAGAAGGGTTTTTCCACCATGCTTCTGCTCCACTTGGATGGGGAGAGAAGGTGATCCCAGCAAGCTGGTGGAAAGCTGAGAGTAGATGGGGGCTGTCTGTGTGCTGGAGTTGATGATTATCACCTAAAATATCTCCCCCTTAGTCATAGGACCCACGTGGGACCACGATGGGACCGGTGGGGGTGTTGCAGGAGGGCTGACCCTGTCCCGTGGTTTGTCTTTCCTCTCCCCCAGATGCCGCTGCCATCCTGCAAGAGGAGCAGAGCAAGAAACCGTGCCGCAAGTTCCTGCAAACAGGTGAGTTCTGAGCTGGAAATACCTGGCCGGGCTGCTCGGGGGAGCCCTGGAGTGTGTGTCCTCCCTGGAGGGAGCAAAGGGCTTGGCTCTGTGCGTCCCAAGTGTGTCCTGGCTTTGCAGGCACCTTTCTGGGGCAGGACCTCGTGTGCGTGGCTCTCACGGGGCTCTCCGTGGCTCTTGTTGCAGGGCAGTGCGATTTCGGGGCCAACTGCAGGTTTTCCCACATGACGGAGCAGGACCTGGAGAAGCTGAGCGCCCAGGTGCAAGGTGAGTCCTGGAGCCAGAAGCTGCCCACGGGTCTCTGAGGAAGGGGGGAGCTGCTGGGAGCGCTGACATTTTTCGGATGCTTTCTGCTCTTGCTCTGCTGGCACGGACACAAGCCTGAAGAGCTGCACGATGCTGCTACCACTTAGCAGCGAGCATCTGAGGCTGAGGGTGGGCTTTCCAAGCCCTTGGGGTTTCGTTCAGTCAGGGAATAAAAACTGTCAGCAGCAGAGGGCACTGGTACATCGCTTCCCCTTGAATTTATGGATTTGACTTCCCCCTGACTCTGTGATGACCGAGGACCTGCTGCTTCCAGTCCTGTCAGAAGCTAGCTGCCATCAGTTGCCTTGTTCTGAGGCGAGGATATGGGATCCTGGATCCAAAACAGCCTCTGCTGGCGTGCTGTGGGGTGGAGCTGAAGCCTGGGCAGGGGGCAGCTGCTCCCCTGCTGCGAGTGGGCTCCTTTTTTTGTTGTACTAAGAGAGCAGGGGCATTTTTTTTTGTACCAAGAGGACTTTATCTTGCCGAGAGCATTGCCTCCATGCCCCTTTGCAGGGGGAGAGAAAGCTCTCCCGAGAGGAGCAGGGCTGCAGGGGAAGTCTGGCGAGCTGCTCTGTGCTCGGGCAGCCTTCCGTGCCAATTACACGTGTTGCCGAGTATCGCCTCGTGTCAGGTGGGCCAGGGGGGAGCGGGGAATTGGCTAGGAGAGAGCCGATCCCTGGGAGGCGACTTGGAAACCTCGCGTTTGCATTGCCAAGTCAAACATTTAATTAAACGATTCGGCTTCGAGGAGCGATGGCTGGGGGCTGGCAGGGCCTCCTCGGCCGGGCTGCTCTGTGCCGGGCGGCGGAGTCAAATCCTGCTCACCTCTCCCGTGGAAATCCACAGAAACCCCGTGTGAGGCGAGCTGAGGATCACGCAGACCCCCCAGGGCTGACCTGCTGAGCCTGCAGGGTGCCTGAAGGGGTTTGGTGGAGGGCAGAGCTCAGAAGGATGACGGTGAGGAGCAGAGGAGCCCACACATAACTCATTAATCCAGACAGAACGAATGGCCACGGGCACCAAGTTGCCGTCGGGTGTGTGGTGGGGGTGTCACAGCACTCCTTAGGCACTCAAATATCGATATCTCAGGGGCTGAGGCTGAGGGGAGAGTTTAAAGCAAGCGTGTGTGCTGGCAGGGTGGTCTGCAGGAGGCTGGGTGCTCGGCCGGCACGTCCCTGTGGCCCCGCAGTGTTGGCAGCTCTGTGGCAGCAGGTTCCTCTTGCTGGCGATGCTTTTTGGTAACAGCCGAGGGAAACGTCACCGTGTTTGTCGTGTTTTAACGTGGGGAGCTCAGCCTGGTGGTGCTGTTAGTCGCGTGGCTTAAACGGGAACGTTTCTGGACACTCGGAGAGCTCAGAGCATGCCCTGGTTTGGCTTTGGCACCCGGTAGGATACCCTCACGAGGAGGAAACAGTTCCCACCCGTCAGCAGGGAGAGAGGCACATCCCCAGCTGCTACCACACCGAAGCCTTCTTCTGCTGCATCTGCTGCATCATTTCTCAAGGAGACGCTTCCAGGATGTCGCCTTCAGTGCACTCATGTCAGGAACACTCAGCGTCAAATCGGCGGTGATTTGCTCAGAGCTACGGGCTCCATGCTGCTCGGCAGCACCATGAGGCAGCCCCGGCGGTTGGGAGCTGTGAGGGAGAGGAGGAGCACGGCAGGGAGGGTGCTCCTGGTCCATCCTGGTGGCGGGGAGAACACGGCCGAGGCTGCTGGGGGCTGAACTCGAGGAGGAGCAGGACAAGGACCGCGCTCATCGTTGGCTGCAAGCAATTCACAAAGGTGCTCGTGTCAAGGGAGGCATCAGCCCCGTCCCTCAGCTGCTGTTTGCTGCTGGTCCTGTGCACCGGGGGGGTGCGGGCAGCCCCCAGGTCCCGTCCAGGCAGGGAGCTGAAGGATCTCACCTCAGCCTCTCCGCTCGGTGCTGGTGGCAGCGCCTGGTCCAGGAGGAGCTGAGCCAGGCTGGGTGCGTGTCTGGGGCTCCTCGCGAGTCAAAATTTGGGGGTTTTATTTCAGAGGGGGGGCAGCTCGTGCTAAAAGGTGCATGGGGAGAAAAGATAAAGGGACCCAAGGGACACAAGGTGGCTGTGGTCAGTGCAGCTGAGGAAAGTTGCAACGTGTCCAAGTCAGAGCCACGCGCCCAGGTTACCGCGCTGCTCGTGTCCTGCGCTGCCCTCAGGCTCTGGGCCGGCCCTGCACGGCTCTGCTGGCACTTGGCTCCTCCAGAACAACCCCAGGAGACACCAACAGCCCCGTTTCCAGCTGGCATCCTCATCCCTGGGCTGCAGAGCAGTGCCCTGACCTCAGACCAGCAGCGGGCTCGCCTGGTGGTGGCGGCGAGCACATCGCCACCTCCTCCCAGGGGCCGGGTGACAAATGATCCATCTGGGGCTGCCGTGTGATGGCACGGCGGGGCCGTCCTCATGAATATGCAACGGGCAGATGAATAATTGGGTGCCACCACCGGGATGGAGCGATCCTTCACTCTGCCCAAGCGATGTTAATTTCACACCCTGTCTGGAAACGCGCCGTGCTCTCCCAAAAGGCGTTGACACACGGCGGCAACGCACGGCTGTGGGTGGCTGGCACCACGGGGGCACTGCTGGGTCTCCAGGAGGGATCGGGGGTCCCCAAAGCGCTTGGTTTTATGAGCAAAGGGGGACAACACGCAGCTGCCTCGGTGTCTTTTTTACTAATATCATATTTTTCCCAAAGTGTCACGTTCCACTGGGCTGGAGGTGTGACGGCACCGAGCGTCCGTTTGGAGTAGGGCTGCTCTGCCGCTGCCCTGCCTCTGGGTGGGCAGCTGAGGTTTCTGCGGGCACTGCCCTGCTTGCTCCAGCCTGCAGGAGAAAATGCAGGAGCTCTTGGGAGCTGCTGGGGAGCTCTTGAGGTGAGGAGGAAGAGGAGGAGGCAGCGATCAGCCCCGGGGAGATGCCAGCTGGATGCGCTGCACCCGGCGAGCGTCCGAGGGCAGGCAGGCAGCAGAGGAGGATGAGCAGGGGGTGCTGTGGGCAAACGGCCAACTCTCAGCCCCAAAAAACTGCAGGGTGAGGAGCCTGGGGGGGGTAACAGAGCGAGAGGAGCGCGGGGCGAGGGTCTGACAGCTCTCTCTCAAACAGGGGAGCAGCGGCTGAAGGAGCTGCGGCAGGAGGGAGCGGACGTCCCGCTTGGCACCATCGAGGACTGGCTGGAGAAGAGGGCGAAGAGGCTGAGCGCGGCTCAGAGCAACAGGTACCGGGGGCTGGGGGTGTCCCAGCGAGGTGGGATCACACCCGGGGGGCTTGGGGACCACGCAGGTGGCCAGGGCTGCCCCAAAGCTTGATACCTGAGCTGTGTGCCGGCTCTTGGCACCCGTGGGGACCCGTCTGCGTGGCACACCTGCCTCGGGGACATGTGCAAGTGTCCCCCCATGGTGTTGGGGGACAAGGCAGGTCCCACTGCCCGTGGCTGCTCCCCCAGGGAGGGCAGGCAGAGGGTAGGGTACCCCCGTGCCCTTGGCAGCACTCACGGACGTGTCTGGGAGTCCGTGGCGGCGGCGGCGCTGAGTTATTGGTGCCTGCTGCGGGTGGCAGGAGGCCGGGCTCATCTGTTGCCAGCTCCCCCCATCCTCTGCCTGCCCTGTCTGCGTGTCCCTGCCCGTCCCTGCCTTCTCCTTCGCCAGGCAGAGGGTGGGATTAGCTCCTCCTCACGGCAGCGGGACGCCTGCCTGCGGGTCCCTGCTGTTCCCTCGCTCACCTGACTGTGCCGCAGGCTTAATTGGATGACATTTGGGCAGGTGCCAAATCTCTCTTTTGTTCTTTTTTTTTTTTTTTTTTCCCCTCCTGTTTGCTCCTGTCCTCTCCGTGTTTGGTCTGGGCAGGATCTTCCTTCTGCTGCCTGTCTGGGCGCGTTGCGTTCTGCTCCCTCCATCCATCAGCCTGGCTGCTCTTCGCCCTGCAGCCGTGCTCGCCCGGCAGCAGCAAGCTCCCGAGCTCCCTCCCCTTGTTTGTTTGCCCTTTTTTTTTTGTTTGTCCTGCCCGATATCTTTCAATCTCGGGACAGATCCTCTCCTGCTGATAAAACCCAGCTGAATTCCCAGCCTCCCATCCTCACTTGGTCCCCGCTGCCTCCAAGCACGCGCCAGACCCGGCGTTTTTCGGGCTGTTGCTTTCCGCCCAGCCTCTCCGCCCCCACAGGTCCTGAAACCATCTGCTGCAGCAAACCAACCCCAGCTCTTCAGCACTTCTCTGGCCGTGCCTGGCCTCACCGGTGTCCATTCCCATTCCCTTCCTTCTCCCCTCGTGTGCTTTCCAGCCCCGCTGTTACCCTTCCGAGCAGTGGTGCGCTTCGCTTCGCCTGCCGTAGGTCTCCTTGTGCTTTGGGCACGTGTTTCTGCCCTAACAGCCACGGAGCCCCCTCGTCTGCCTCCACCAGGCAGGGGTCAGCGCCCTGGGAGGGTGCTGCTCCCCCGGAGCGTTACGTAAGGGAGCACAATTACATTTCTGCTGGCATCGCAATTAAAAGGATCCAGCAGGATCAGAGCGAGAGGCCCGGGAAGCTGGGAGGCTGCTGCCAGGGCTTGTGCTGAAGGACAAGTGAATTTCCTGTGCTGAGGAATGAAGGAAAGGGCACGTTTCCTGGGGATTTAAGCCTGTCCCGGCCCAGCTCTTTCTTCTCCAGCTGGAGACAAGGCAGCGATGCTTCTCGCTCCGCACTTCTGTCCCACGTGCTGCTCGCAGCAGCCTCCCCTCATAAATAGGAGCGAGAGAGAGAAAAAAAAAGCATTCCCCGGGCTGCAAGCTGGAGGAGAAAGCCTCTTCCCTCTGGTGAAGGGTGCTTCTGTGAAAACACCCTGGCGTTTTGGCAGCTCCTCCGCTTCCGAGGGGCCCTTGTCCTTCGGGAAGTGCGCAGCTGCCTTGGGATTGGGGCTGCTGGGGAAGAGATCACGGAAACATCTGCTGGTGGGGCTCAACGCTCAGCTGTGCGGTGAGCTTTGGGCAGCTGGGGGACGGAGGGGCTGTGCCTCAGGACAAGCAGAGGGGGCATTGTCATGCTCGCCCCCCCGAGGACCCCGCTGTGTCCCCAAGCTCTCGAACGGAGTCAGCCACGGCTCATCTCTGCCCTTTCCCTCTCCCATCTCCGCAGCGCCCTGCCTGAGAAGCCGCTGCCCTTCCAGTACCCGCCGGGCTGGCCACCGCCGCAGGAGCTGCCCCCGTCCCTGCAGGCCCCCCCACCTGGGGGGTGGCCGCTGCCCCCCGACCTGCAGTGGGGCTGAGGCGCCCTGCTGGGGCTGGATGTCACCCTCGCCTGAGAAAAGCACTGAATTATTGACCTACGCTTTTATTTTAATAAATTTTTCCCCCCCGCATCGCAGCCTTGTGTTATTTCTCACCTGGCAGCCTCCCGTGGGGCGAGCTGGTCCCTGGGGGTCATCGCCGTGCTCCCCAAACGGGGGGCGAAGCTGCAGCCCCACTGCTTGTGGAGCCCACGCAGGCTGGGGAAGGAAGCTGTAAGCAGGCCTTTAAACATCCCTGCTGAATATTTCCTCCCGTGTTGATGACTGGGGTTTGCTTCTGCTAAATGCAGCGGGTAACGCTGGGGGTTCAGGTGCTGGAGCTCCTAATGAAGAGCTCGGGGAGCTCCCCAAAGCCCCGTGCTCCCGCTCCCACTAGGCTGGAGGTGAGAAACGAGGAGGAAAAAACATTTTTCCACGGCTCCTCCTTCTCCAGGAAATGAAGGAAGGGGTGAGTGCCAAGGGGGCGAGTGGCTGGGGGTCGCTCCCTGCTGGGGGAGTGGCAAATAAAAGCCAAATATCGGGCACGAAGGGGCTGCGTGAGCGTGGGGAGAGCACACAAGGAAGGGGCTCGCTCTGCCTGCCCCCAGCACCTGCCCTTCCTCTCCTCCTACCTCCGGGAGCAGCTGGGGGTGCTCGCGGGGCGCACTTTGGCTTGGCCACCACCCCCCGGAGCTCGGCACCGTGCGCCCCGCTGGTGGCCGCAGTGTGCCAGAGCAGTGACCTGCCAGCAGCTCCGCGGTGCCAGCGCACTCCAGGTTTGGCCACGGGTGCAGGCAGCGGCTCCAGGCTCGTGGAGAGCACCAGCAGCTGCCTGCGGGCAGCGATGCACAGAGGGAGCTGCCAGCCCTGGTGCAGGACTCCCAGGAGCAGCAGCAACCCCGCTGCCTCCTCCTTGGCACAAGCAGAAGCTGGGTGTGCAGTTACTCGAGCTCAGGGGTGGTTTTACCCTTCCCAGCCTTGTTCTGGCTTGGGCTGCTGCGCCCTGTGGTCTTTAGGCTTTGGCAAGGGGGAGCCCAGGGGCTGGGACCCAGGGGGCAGCACCCATCTGGCACCTCCCCAGAGGACAGGAACCCCCCTGCCCTGAACGTGGAGCCTGATCACCTTCAGGAGGCCAAATGAGGCTGGAATAACCCCAAAAGGGCCGTGATGCTCCGCTCTCGGCCACCCGTGGGATCAGCCCCTGCAGCAGCTCCAGCTTCAGAGGGTGCCAAGTGGCTCCAGCGCGAGGCCGGCCACGTGCACGGGTCCCTTCCTCCTGGGGCCACAGCTGCTGCTGGCGGAGGAAAACAGAGAGCCAAACCTCCTGCAGGCATCCCGAGGGGGGCCGTGAGCCGTGTGCCTGCGCCCGCCTCTGCAGCGGTGTTTTGCAATCCGCCATCCAAATATTCTGCTCTTCCCAGCCTGGGATTTCGAGACTTGCTTTGCTTCCCCTGCTGCCAGCCCCGCGCCCTGCTCGGTGCCACCCGTCCGCCCGAAGCGGGGCGATTTGTGAACTTGCAAAAAAACAAACAAACACAAGTTTGGCACTGCAAACATCAGCTCCAGGGGGGAGGACCCCGCAGCACCCCAAAACAAGCTGCTGTCCCCCGGGGATGCTGCAGGATGGGGCCCCCCAGCACGTTCCCCCCTGGGACTCGGTGTCCCCTGGCCGGGCTGTGCCGGGGCTGGCAGGGGAGCTGCAGCCCGGCAGCGGTGGCACGAGCCAAAATGCCCCCTGTGCAGCGGGAGGCATCGCTCGGGAAGCTTTTAGGGAAATGAGCCGCTCCTGGGACCCTGCCAAGGCGCAGCCCCACTGGGCTCTGCCCAGCGTCCTCTGGCAGCTCTTGCTGGGAGAGGAAGGGGACGGGGATGGGATGGGGTGAGAATGGGAATGGGGATGGGGATGGGGATGGGGATGGGATGGGAACAGGTTCAGGGACAAGGCTGAGGCCACCCCACGCTGCTTGCAGGACTGGAGAGACAAAACCACCCTTTCCTCCCCCAAAACCCTTCTCGGTGCTACAGAAACCCCAAACCCAGGTGTTTTTCCTGCCGGCGCGGCACCATCCAGCAGGGACCAACAGCAGCAGGGTCCTTCTCGCCCCTCGTCCCGCTGCGCCGCCGTCAAACCGCTCGCAGAGGGAGATTTTTTTTCTCCCAGCGAGCGTTTAATTAAATTAGCGGGGCGCGTCGCCTCGCGGCAGCCGCAGTGACACAGCCCCGGCTGCGGCACCAGCACCGGACCAGCACCGGGACCAGCACCGGGACCAGCACCGGGGCCCAGAGCCGCTCAGGTGCTTCCGAGCCGGGAGCCCAGATCTCCAAACACCCACCGTCAGGAAGCCCCATTCAATTCCCATTAAAATTAATTGAGCAGCTTTGAGGAGCCGAGCTTTGGGGACCGCGCTCTTCCTTTTAGCTGATTTTTCTTTTATGTTACTGTCTTTTCTAGCAAATTAAATTGTCCTCGTTTTCCTTTTTTTTTTTTTTTTTTTTTCTCTTTTTCGCCTTCCTTATGTTTATTCACAGCGTCTATAACAGACCTGGTTAAATATATCTGGCTGTATGTACACAGCGCCGAGGGCACGTGGTTTCCCCTGAAAACGCCGGTTCGTAAAAAAGCAAAAGTTTCTGCGGGGAGATGGATGAAATTTCATTACGGGCGCGGAGCCTCCCCCTCTTTTCGAGGCAGCCGAGATGATTTCACTGCCGTGGAGCGCTTCCCATTTTCATTTCTCATTTGGACGCTCGGTTCAATTTGCGTGATAAATTATATGAGATCCAAAAAAAATAAATAAATAAAAAAAACCAACCAGCCCCCATCGCCCCCCCCCCGGTAACACGCAGCCAATTCCTGGCAGCGCCGCGCCGAGCCACGGAGATCCCTGTGCCTTGAACCGATCCCTGCACTCCTCAGCTCTCCCTGCCCAGAAATTCCCATTTCCAGCAGTTTTGCACCCAAACTGGGGTGTCCCCAAGCAGGGAGCGGGCTGGCGGCCCGCAGCCCCGACGCCCCGGGGATGGCCACCTCCTGCAGGGAAGCAGCCGTGCCCGTGATGCTACCGGCACCGAGAGCTCCCCGGGTTTTTATTTATTATTTTAATCTATTTGCCATTAAAAATGCATCATCTGGGGGCTCGGGGAGGGCTATCCATCAGGCGGGTGCAGGACCCCCCCCCGGAGCGCACGGAGAGGGGATTTCCAGGGTGCTCTCATTAGTGGGATGTTCTCATTAGCGGGACGGCGTCGCCCAGCATGGGGGGCAGACCCCCCCCCATAACTAAACCAGGAGCTGGGGGGGTCCTGGTGGTGTCCCACAGGTCCCGCGTGGCCTTGACAGGAGCTGGGTCGCAGCACCCATGGGTGCCCTGCGCCCCCCGAGCGTCCCCGAGCAGTTCAGAAATCCCGGTTTTATTTCAGATCGGAAACGACCGACCAGGAAGGAAAAAAATAAAATAAAATAAGAACGGAACTCCAAAGAATGAGAAACGGACCCAAATCCAAACCGGGCCGGGGCCCGGCGGGTGCTACATACAGGCTGGGGGGGGGTTGGATGGGGGGGTCCCCAGGCTGCCGGGACGTGCGGCTCTTCCCAGCGGGTCCTCGTGCGGGCAGCCCCCTCTGGCAGCTGGGGAAACTGAGGCACGGCGCGGGGCTGGGGGGGGTGCACGGCGGAGGCAGGGGGGGGGCAGATCCAGCCTTTGGCGGCGAGGTCCATGCAAACGCCCCCCCCTCTCCGAATTGGGAACAAAAATACAGATCTCAGGCGCGTGTATTGCTCACGGGGCGCTCGGTTCGGCCATAAATACGGAGCTGCAGGGGCTGGATGTGGTGCAGCAGGGGGGGTGCAAGGGGGGGGCCGGCACCGCGGGCACGTTTCGCCCCCGGCTTGGGGTTTTGGGGGGGCAGCGGGCGGGCTCCATGCACGGTGCATGCACTTGGTACTTGCTGGCGGGGTTCCGGGGCTCTGCCGCAGTCCGGGCGTCGCGCGAGCAGCCCCGCGGGCTCCCCACCCCTGTGCCGGGGTGGGAGGTTTTTTTTTGGGGGGGAGGAGGGTGTCCCCCGGTGTCCCCCGGTGTCCCCTGGTGTCCCCTGGTCCTACTTCATGCCGCTGCGCAGCACCTGGTTGGCGGCGATGAGCATGACGCTGATGATGAAGGCGATGGCGAAGGCGCAGATGAGGCTTTTGCGCACGCACGTCTGCCGGATCTGCTGGCTGGAGCAGGCTGCGGGGACAGCCGGCGTCACCCCCACCCCGCCGTCCCCACGTCCCCCCCCAGCTCCTTAACCCCCCCCACCCCATACCCCACGCCCCGCTCACTCTCCACGTCCACGGGGCACTCCTCGGCCGTGCCCATGTGGCTCTCCTCCTCCGTCATGATGATGTTCTCGATGTCCTTCATGGAGAGGTGCTCGCAGAAGGTGTCGTACAGCAGCCGCTTCAGCTCGTCCACCGTCAGCTTCTGCATGTCGCACTGCGGGGCGGACGGGTGGGTGAGGGCACCCCAAGTTGGCCCCCCCGGTGCCGGGGGGCTGCTCGCCTCGCCCGAGCCTCGGCGGAGCGGGGCCGGGGGCTCCAGCACCCAAGGGTGCTTGGTCACGGGCCAGGGTTCAGGTCGCTGTGCCCAGGGCGCAGCCTGACCCTAAATATGGCCCTAGAACGCAGCCTGACCCCAAAGGTGACCTTAACGCAGAGTCTGAGCCTGACCCCAAACCTGCCCCTAACCCCAATTCTAACCCCAGCCTGAGCCTGGCCATCACCCTGACCCCAGCCCTAACCTGGAGTCCGACCTCAGGCCCAACCCTGCCCCTAACCCTAAACCCACAGCCTGAGCCTGACCCTGACCTGAGCCCTAACCCCAAGCAAACCCTGACCCTGAGCCCGACCCCAAGCTCAGCCCCAGCCCTGACCCTCACCCTGACCCTAGCCCTAACCCCAGCCCCAAGCCTTACCTTGACCCCGACCCCAACCTCAAACCCGACCCAATCCTAACCCTGACCCCAACCCAGCCCCGCCCCGGTGTCCCCGGTGTGCGGGTTGGGGTCGGGTCCCCCCCTACCTTCCAGAAGACGGTGTCGAAGTCCGTGCCGTGGAACTTCTCCGGGATGCCCGAGGTGGACAGCTTGGGGCCCAGCAGCGTCACGAACTCCTCGAAGTCCACCTGCCCGTCACCTGCGGGACACGGAGCCGGCGTCACCCCGACACGAGGACGAGCGTGTCCCCTGTCCCCCTCAAATGGGGACCCTGAGAAGTGTCCCCACGGCAGCGTTTTGGGGGGACGCCGCTGGGCTTGGTGGTTTTGGTGGGACCCCGCTCCAGGGCTTGGCACTTTGGGGGCTCCAGTGCCACCCCCCTGACCCTGGGACTTCACCAAACGGGGACCCCACACTGCTGGGGGACCCCAGTGCCAGCCGGGGACCCCGAAATCCATCTGGGGACCACGACACCAGCTGGGACCTCCCACACTGCCTGGGACCCCCGGCAGCAGTTGGGGACCCCCCAGAGCAGCTGGAAAGCCCAGCTCCGGCCGGGACCCCCATGCCCCAGCCCCTAAAACCCCACAGAAATGGGGCCGGGCTGCCCTCGTGGGGAGGAGGACATCAGCCCCCGGGGCTGTCACGGCGGCACTAACGATGAGTAATGGAGGGAGCCGCGGCTTGGCAGCCTCGCCTGAAAGGCTTTTAAATGGGGAAAAAAAATAAAAAAGAAAAAAAGAAAAAGGAATCCAATAAATTAACGCGCTCCTTAAGGTCCCGGTGAGCACGGGAGTGACGGGGAGGGCAGGGCCAGCGCTGGGTGCAGGGCCATGGGGTGTGGGATCTGGCACCAAGGTGTGGGATCCAGCCCTGGGGTGTGGGATCTGGGCCGGGCACCCCAATCCCGGGGGGGTTGGCCAGCTCAGGACGCCCCCATCCCACCCCGGACCGGTTCCAGCCCCGTTAAATCCTCCCGAACGGAGCCACGGGGAGGAAGAGGAGGGTGACGGACGAGGCTCCGGGCACGAGGCAGGACCCGAACCGGGCCCCTCCGAATCCAGCAGTGATGGGAAAAGGGGGGGGGGGAGCAGCACCGGGGGGGGTGCTGGGGGTCCCGTGCCGGGGTCCTACCGTCCATGTCGAGGCGCTGGATGATGACCTCGAGCTCCACCTCGTTGGGCATGTAGCCCAGCGAGCGCATGGCCGTGCCCAGCTCCTGCTTGGAGATGAAGCCGTTGCCGTCCCGGTCGAACACCTTGAAGGCTTCGCGGATCTCTGCGGGGGAAACGGGGCTCAGCCCGGACACCCCAAAAATCCCCCCCCCTGACCTCCCCCAGGCCAGCCGCTCGCCCCCCGCAGAGGGGAAACTGAGGCACGGTGGGGCTGGGCGCGTCGCGCTCCTGGGCACCCAGCGCGGGGCCGGCACCGGTGCCGAGCCCCAAATATCCCGAACCCGCGGTGCTCGACGCCCTGCCGCCCCGTGGGGAAGAGCTGGGGGGAGAAAGTGAGCAGATCTGGGGGTTCTGGCCCAAAATGCAGCCCCTGGGTGCTGCGGGAGGACGGGGGCAGCTCGGTGGGTGCCGGCCGCCCTAAAGCCGCGCTCAGCCCCGTTTCCCGGAGGACCACTGGGCAGCATGGGGTGGTTTTGCCCAAATCGCTGCTTTTTAGGGGATTTCCTTCCTCTTGGATCTCCCCCGGCCAGCAGAGCCCGAGCCAGGCTGAGGGAGTTGAGGGCTCCACATGTGGCAGCGAGGACTTGCACTGGGGGAAACGCGGAATTGGGCTGAAATCGACCCAAACTCAACATCGTGCCCCAAAACCACGGGGATGGGGTGGCCTTTGGGGTCCCCGGGGGGTGGCATGTCAGCGCAGCAGCCGGTAAGGCCGCCTTGGGATGTAAAACGCCGTGTTTGGGAGCGGTGCTAAAAACATGAAGTCTCATGCCGGGTGGTTTCCCCTGCTCTGAGCCCCCAGCCCAGCCGGGTGCCGTCTGAGACGTCCTGCGAGGCGTTTTGGGGTGAATTTGGTGGGTTTTGGCCTGCTGGCTCAACAGCTTTGCCTTCTCCCTGCCAGACCCCAAAAACCAGGCACAGGGGGCTCGGGGCCACCCCCAAGGCTCAGGGGGAGCCAGCAGCGGGTTCCCCCCCCTGCATGGTCCCCCTGTGGGGTCACCTTGGGGGTCTCGAGGGCCGTGGGTCGTGGCAGGAGCACCCCGTTGGTGCACCACACGCTGGGTGTGTGTGTGTGTGCAACACTGCAACGGGGCTGTGCACGCTCACTGCAGCAGTGCCGTGCTTGTGCACGCACACACACACCCCCCGAAGTGATGCCGTGCTCGTGCACGCACATGTGCACGCCTTGCAGCGATGCTGTGCTTGTGACGCACACACACACACGCCTTGCAGCCACGCTGTGCTTGTGGTGCGCCCTTTGCAGCCACTGTGCTTGTGGTGCGCCCTTTGCAGCCACGCTGTGCTGTCGCATGCAAACAGCTTGCAGCGAGGCTGTGCCCGTGCATGCACAGCCCGGCACCGTGCTGGACCTGTGTGTGCACAGACACTTCGCTGTGCTTGTGCACCCACAGGCACCTTGCAGTGCTGCTGTGCGTGTGCGTGCATGCAAACACCTCGCAGTGACGCTGTGCTTGTGCATGCACAAACACCTCGCAGTGACGTTGTGCTTGCATGCAAACACCTGACAGCCACGCTGTGCTTGTGCACACACAAACACTTTGCAGTGACGCTGTGCTTGTGTGCACACCTTGCAGTGATGCTGTACCTGTGCATGCACACACAGACACCTTGCAGTGATGCTGTGCTTGTGCATGCACAAACACCTTGCAGTGACGTTGTAATTGTGCATGCACACACAGACGCCTTGCAGTGACGCTGTGCTTGTGTGCACAGACACCTTGCAGTGATGCTGTACCTGTGCATGCACCAGTGCATGCACAAACACCTTGCAGTGATGTTGTACTTGTGCATGCACACCCAGACACGTTGCAGTGACGCTGTGCTTGTGCATGCACACACTAACACTTTGCAGTGATGTTGTACTTGTGCATGCACACACAGAAACCTTGCAATGATGCTGTGCTTGTGCATGCATCCACAAACACTTTGCAGTGATGTTGTGCTTGTGCATGCACACCCAGACACCTTGCAGTGACACTGTGCTTGTGTGCACAGACACAGACACCTTGCAGTGACGCTGTGCTTGTGTGCACAGACACAGACACCTTGCAGTGACGCTGTGCTTGTGTGCACAGACACAGACACCTTGCAGTGACGCTGTGCTTGTGCACGCACACCCAACCACCTGAGCGCCACGCTGCACTGGTGCATGCACACACACGCACCCCCTGCAGCAGTGCTGTGCACGTGAACCCAGCTCCCCCCCCAGCACTGCACGTGTGCATGCACACACCCTGCAGCGGGGCCGTGCGTGTGCACACAGACGTGCACACACACGTACACGTGCCGGGGGGGCTGCAAACAAGCACACACACACTCACACACACACACGGGGGCGTGAAGCTGTAGCAGAGCCCCCAGCCCTGCACACTGCGGTTTGGGGCCCCCCGGCTGCGTGTCCCCGTGCCTCAGTTTCCCCTGCGGTGCCCGGAGGCTGCGAGCAGCCCCCTGGGGGCCGCGTCCCCGTCCCGCAGCCAAACTTTTGGGGTGAAAAACCCCCTTTTCGGGGCAGCCCGGCCCTGTGCATGCCACGAGTGGGCTCCCCGACCTCACCGTGCCACGCGTGGGGATGGGGGGGGGACCGATGGGGCCAGGCGGAGCGCGGTGCGGGTAGGGGGGTCCCTCCCTCGGGGACCCCCCAGGGCTCACCCCCAGCATCCCCCCCCCCCGGGGCTCACCCTCCAGCTCGTCCTCGGGGATGTCCACGGGGTGCTGCTCTGCCAGCAGCGGGGGCACGCTGTAGATGCCCCGGTACATCAACGCGGCGGTCACCGGGTGGAACGGCATCTTCGGAGCCCAAAGTTTCGCCGGCCGAAAAAAAATTGCCCAGAAGAAATCCGAGCCTAACCCGGGACGGGGTCGGCCCCCCCCCAAAAACCCAAACCCACCTCCACCTCCCCCGGCCCCCCCCCCAGCCCAAGCGGCGGGGGCGAGCAGCCCGTCCCCGCGGCCTCAGGGCGGAGGGGGGGGGGGGCCGGGGCCGGCTCCCAGCATCCAGGAGCCGCTTTTAAAGGCCGGGACCGGCTCCGGAGCCCCCCCGGCACCCCCCCGGGAGCTGCCCCTTAGGGCCCGGCATGGCGGGGGCCTCCGCCGCAGCCTCCTGCCGCTGCCCAAGTTTGGCGGAGCAGGAGCCGGGGCTCGGCGCTCGCTGCCCGCCCCCAGCCCCAACCCCCGCCCCCCGGCCGCGCCTCCCCGGTACCGGGCTGGGGGGTAAAAAGGGGGGGGGGAGAGGGGGGGGGGTGGGGATGGGGAAAGGAAGGGATGAGGATGAGGATGAGGATGGGGATGGGGATGGGGATGAGGATGGGATGGGGATGGGGGAGGGGGTGTGATGGGATGGGATGGGATGGGGATGGGATGGGATGGGGATGGGGATGGGATGGAGAAGGAGATGTGATGGGGATGGGATGGGGAGGGGATGGGGATGGGGTGGGGTAGGGTAGGGAGAAGGATGGAGATAGGGATGGGATGGAGAAGGGAAGGGAAAGGGATGAGGATGAGGATGAGGATGAGGATGGGATGGAGATGGATGGGAAAGGGATGGGGATGGGATGGGGATGGGGATGGGAAAGGGTGGGGTTGGGATGGAGATGGGGATGTGGTGGGGATGGGAATGAGAATGGGATTGAGGATGGTGATGGAATGGGGATGGAGATAGGATGGGATGGGGATGGGATGGGGATGGGGAAGGGAAGGGAAAGGGATGAGGATGAGGATGGGATGGGGATGAGGAAGGATAGGATGGGATGGAATGGGGATGAGGAGGAGGATGTGTTAGGGATGGGATGGGATGGGATGGAGAAGGGGATGGGGTGAAATGAGGATGGGATGGGATGGGAAGGGGATGTGATGGGGGTGAGAATGGAATTGGGAAGGGGATGGGATGGATGGGATGAATGGAGATGGGTTTGAGGTGGTATTTCGGATGGGATGGGAATGAGGAAGGGAATGTGTTAGGGATGGGGATGGGGATGGGGGTAGGAATGGATCTGCTGAAGGAATGGGGAGGGGAGGAAGAGGGGATGGGGATTGGGAACAGGATGGGGAATGGGATGGGGATGGGAATGGGAACGGGGATGGGATGGGGATGGGATGGGATGGGATGGGGATGGAGATGATGGGAATTATGGGGATGGGATGGGGATGCTGATGAGGAGGAGGGATGGGATGGGAGGGCCGGTGACACCTGGTGGTGGGAGCTGCAGCCCAGCTGGGGCCCCCATCGCCCTCCCACCCCGAGCAGCCCGGCTGCCCCACACCTCTGCCGCTGTCCCCATGTCCCCAGAGCAGCCGGGCAGTGACACAGCGCGGGGCAGCGGGGTCCCAGGGCCCGACCCCATCCTGCTGCCCCCACACACCGCCGGGGGTGGCGGAGGCACCGAGCAGAGGGGGGGCACCCCAGGGTGCCGGCCTTTCCCCGCCGTCCTCCTCTTTTGGTGACATTTTTGACCCATTTCTCGCTTTGTCACCGATCCGGCACAGCCCCGCTCCCCGCTGTGCCGTGGGGACGGTGGCACCCGAACCCCAAAAGTGCCTGGGGACACCAAAAAGTGATGTGTCCCCTGGTGGAATTTCCTCCTCCGCAGCCCCTTTCCCATGGGAAAACCCAAATCCCACAGCCCCGTCCCCCCAGGACGCGTGGACCCACTCCTCCCCGTGCCCCATGGGGATTCTCCGCTGTCTCGTACCGGGGTTGAGCCCAGCACAGCCCCTGGGGGAGGTGAGGCCGATTTGGGGGTTTTTCGCCCTCCCCAACATCCAAGCTGCTAAAAACCTGGGGGAATTCATTTCTTTGAGCCCTCTGCGGGCTCTCGGTGCACCCTGAAGGAAAAATCAGCACCGGAGCCTGAATTTTGTCGGCTGCTGCTGCAAGGAGCCCGGCGGCAGCGATGCAGTGAGGCCGGGGAATGGGGGCGTGCGGTGCCCAAAATCCCCCGTGGCCTCCCCGCAGGCCCTTTGGGGGCAAAACACCCCCCCAAAAAATAAATAATAATAAAAAATAAAGGAAGAGGAAAAGGGAAAGCAGCCTAATTGCAAATCTCCTCCTCTTTCCTGGCGGATCCAGCCACTCTTCAATATTAATGAAGTCGCCCTCCCAATTAATTCTCCGCTTGCCCACTGGAGGCCCAGGGGTGGAAACTCATTAATTTCTCGCCACCCAAATCCGGAAGAAATAACACCGAAACCCTCGGGGCTGCTTTCCCACTGCTCCCCCCGCCGATCTCCAGTGCCCCCCCCCCGATCCCTGCACTTGCCCCCCTCGGCAGGCAGGGAAGGGCAGACGGGGGGGGTAATTAACAGAGATTTAATTGCATTGGCAATTAAAAACAACTGCTCCCCCTGCACCCAGGGGTGCTGCGCCCCCCCCGGCCCCTGGGATGGATGGGATGGGATGGGATGGGATGGGATGGGATGGGGATGGAGATGGGGATATGGGAGGGGATGGGAGGGGATGGGATGGGGATGGGGATGTGGGATGGGATGGGGATGATATGGGATGGGATGGGGATGTGTGAATATAGGCTGTCAGAACCTCACAGAGCTGGGAATAGGATGTGAAAGCTCCCAGAGCTTAGGATGGGGCAGTAAAACCCCGTAGTGCCAGACAGGGGTTGGGCAAGCTCAGCAGGGGTGGCATGGGGAGGTGCAGCCCCAGGCCTGGCTGCCCTCAGCTCCCTGGGGCAGCCCCATGCCCGGCTCCGGGGGGGGCTGCAGAGCATCCCTCATCCCATCACCTGCGGGGAGGGGACGTGGTGGCCCCGCGTGGCCGCCGTGTCCTTTTGAAGCCACCCGCTGGCACCGAGCCCGCCGAGCCGCCGGAGGCATCCATCTCCCCGTGCCGCCGGTGTCAGCCGGGCATTTAGCGAAATGGTTCTTAAACGAAGGCTTTGATGGAAGAAGAGGGATGGCTGCGCAAGGTTAGCTATCCCTGGCACCGGCTGCCAGCTCGCAGGGCTGCGGTAACCTGGGGGGGGCACTGGGGACCCGTCCCCCAGCCCCAAAAACACCTCTGTGATGGGGGATTAACAGGGCAGAGCCTCCAGGTGCAGGGTTTGGGCAAGGAGAAGGGGAAAGGTGTGGAAAGCAGAGCCCGACGTGGGCACCCGTGGGGTAAAAGAGCCCTTTGTAAGGTTTACGGGGAGGAGATTTAGGAAAATTGGGGAAAATGGAAAAGCCTGGTCCCAAATGTCCTGCACCCGCTGTGTCCTCCAGCGTCCCACCTCCCCGTGTCCTCTGCTGGTCCCCGGAGCCGTGTCCGGCTGCGGCGGTGCCAGCGGGGCTGGGAGCTGACTCAGAGCCCGGCGCTGAGTAACGCGGCGTGCCCGCTGCTCCCGGCACGGCTGGGGCGTGCAAACGCGTGCCCCCGGTGCAAGGACCCGTCCCGGGTGTGCACGCACCTGGAGCGTGACCGAATCCCTTGCGTGAGCAGAGCTCCGCTGCGCACAAACGCAGGGACCCCGTGGAAACGCCCCGTGCTTGTGCACAAACACAGACACAAACACACACAATGGTGCAAATGTGCCCCTTGCACACGCACCGGGGTGCAAAAAGCCCTTGTGCGAGTGCACAGCCCTTGTGCACGCCCCGCTGCACCCCTCGTGCCAGCGCGACGCCCTCGTGCGCAAACAGCGCCGCGTGGAGACGCTCGCCACTGGTGCGCACACCCCGGGGAGCAGCAGCAGCTCCTGGGGGGGGGCAGGAGGCAGCTGCCGTGGTGCCGGGGGGCAGCACCCAAGGGTGCAGGAGCAGCTCCTGGGGGGGTTGCGTCGCCCTCGCCACCGTGCGCCCCATGAATAATGCATGGCTGCAGGCCCCGGCGCTGCCTCGCCACCGCCGCGCAGGACAAGGGCAGAATACCAAACGGGAGCCCCGCAGGGCAGGCAGCCCCGGGGACACGGGCACACGGGGACACGGGGACACGGCGACATGGGGACACGGGGACACGCCGCTGCCACCCTCCTCCGTGCCTCAGTTTCCCCACCCAAGGCTGGTGGCCTTGGAGGCCGGGGGTGCCCCCACCAGCGAGGAACGGCCCCGCTCTGACCGTGAGCCCGTGCCCAGGGCAGTGCCAGAGCCACCCCCAGCATTCAAGTGCGCCCAGGAACGCTGCGAAACGGAGCCAGGCCCTTAGTTAGGCAAAGAAAACCCCAATTTCCTTCCCAACCCTCCCCAAGCTTTGCCCTCTTTGGGATCTGCTCCTGCTGGTGAGTGCTGGCAGCCCCCAGGACCCCCCAAAATCAGCTCCGGGCACAGCCCCCAGGGTGGCACAGAGCTTGCACCGGGCCCCTTCCCAGTTTGGGAACAGGCAGGAGGAGGCAGGAGCTGCTCCAGCACGTGGAAAAAGCCATTTAGGTAGTTTTATTTTCTTTCTTTCTTTTTTTTTTTTTTCCTTGGGCAAAGTCATCTCGACGCAATCCACATCCTCTCTGAAGCTGTCTAGACTTTGATGAATTTAATTTTGCTAAAAAGGAAAAAAAATAAAAAAATAAAATAATAAAAAATCAGAATGAAATTTCCTTTGAAAGCGCTGGAATTTCCCATTCTGCCGCTGCTGGGAGCGCTCGCACGGAGCTGCCGCGGGGCTGGGGGCGTGCAAGGCTGTGGGGGTGCAAGGGGGAGCGCACGGCCCTATGGCACCGCAGCAGCCCCCCCGCAGCACCAGGGCTGGGTCCCACAGCTCAGCCTTGCTTTTGAGGCACGGGGACCCTTTTGGGGCCGGGCGCTCCCCAAGGGCACAGCCACGACCCCGGGGGTCGCTTGTCCCCTGTCCCCAGCCCCTCGGGGGGAGGAGGGCACCGAGGATACCCCCCTGGGACACGGAGCATCCTCCTCTGGCCTCAGGGTTTCTGGGGCAGCCCTGGAGGCTTTGCTTTGGGGCCAAATCCCCCGGCCCCAGGCTCTCCCCGTCCTCCGCAGGCGGCTGCGTTATTGCTGCCGAGGCTGCGCCGCGCGCGGGAAATCAGGTCAGCCCCCCTCCCTGCCATCCCCCCCATCCCGCAGCCCCCAAATCCCCCCCTTTTCCCCATCAGCATCCCTTTGACACACAGGAAGAAAGCAGCAATCCCATCTCCCCTGGGCTGCCCTGCTTAAAAACAACAAAAGAGGGAAAAAAAAAAAGAAAAAAAAATCACCGCCACCCCCAGCTCCCAACCCGCCCGCGCCTCCCACCCCAAATCCCATCGCCTGGCCTTGGGTGGGAGCAGGAGCAGCCCCCGGGGTTGGGGACGGTGTGGTGGGACACCCCCTGTCCCCAGGGGGCTTCGTCCTCCAGGGATTAAGAAATCGAGGCCGCGCCGTGCCCCCCCCTTGTAGTGCTTTGAATTTTTATTAAAACAACCGAGAAAAAAAAAACAAAAAAAAAAACGTTATTTCTTCGGAGTACAACGATCCACGGGGATAGAAAAACGCTGTGCCACGGCCAAACCCAAACCCAAACCCAAACCCAAACCCAAACCCAAACCCATCCGAACCGCAGACGCGCATCGTGCAGGGTCGCCACAAGGCAGCAAGATGCTAAATAAAGAGGGTTTGGGGCACGCTCTGCCCGGGGGGGCTGCGCCTCCATCCTTGGGGGGTGAGGGAGGAATTGGGGCGCTGGGAGCCCCCCAGATCCCCACAGAGGGGCAGGAGCGGGGCTGGAGCCACAGGGATGCGCCAGGGACCTCGCTCAGGGGCTTTTTGTGGGGCAGGCGCAGTGCGGGTGGCCAGGGTTGGGACCTGGGGTGTGTTTTGGGGACAAGACCCCCACTGTTTTGGGGACGGGACCCCCAGTTTGCACAGGGAGGCAGGGCTGGAGGTGGCCAGGAGTCAGGCGTGGGGGGAGCAGCAGCTGGGGGGCTGTGGAGGAGATGGGGGGGCGGGGTCCCTGCGTGTGTTTGGGGGCTCCTGGTCCTGCTCCCCCCATGGGGAAGGGGCAGGGTGCGGGGTGAGCTGCTGGGGGATCGGGAGGGCACGGAGCTGGGGCTGCAGCACCCAGGCAAAAGGCACAGAGGTGGGGGCACCTCGGTGGGGCCCAGGGGGCACCCGCTGCCTCCCCACAGCCAAAACTGGGGCCGCGATTGCTCTCTGCCAGGATCCCGGATGAGGAGGAGGAGGAGGAGGAGGAGGACGAGGAGGAGAAGCCCCCCGCTGGGGGCTGCTAACAGGAGCCCCCCGTCCTGCTCCTCCGCTGCGGCCCCAGCCCCGTGCTGCAAAATATAAGGGAAAAAAAAAAAAAGATAGAAAAAAATAAAAAGGCAAAAGGCAGGAGAGGCTGGAAAAACCCAAAGCAGGGAGGGAGGAGGAGGGTCGGCACACGCCGAGGTGGAGGTGTCGCGGTCCGGGGCGGGATGGCGGGACGCGGGACGCAGCCGCGGCGATGCCCGGCGCGGGCACTGGGGCCGGAGGGCGGTGAGGGCGGCGTCCTACAGCTCCTCGAAGAAGGCCACGCGGGACTTGGTGCTCTGTAGTGTGAGCTGCAAGAGAGCAGAGGGGACACGGGGGTGACTCCTTCCTCCCGCCGGGCGCGGGGATGGCACAAGCGGGGACGTCTGGCCGCAGCCTCGGCGCAAGCGCAGGGCTGGAGGGAGGGCGCAGGGGAAAGGGCAGGGGGGCTTCTGCAGGGCTCCCCCCAAAAAGCGAAGGGTGCCGAGGGGCAGCAGCTGGGTGGCAGGAGCATGAGGAATTTGGGGGCTGAGGGAATTTGGGGTCCTGGAGGAAAGCACGGCCCTGATACCCACCCGGGGCCATCGCGGAGCGGGGAGCTGGAGCTGCTCGCCCGCACCACGAGGACCCCGGCGCGAAGGCTCTGCAGCACCACGAAATTTGGCTCCCCCCGGGCTGCTTTCCGCCGGGGCCGCACGTTTTGCTGAGGCAGGGATCCCGGGTTGGCCTCGCAGCCAGCTAAGCCCCACGGCAGAGCTGCCAAGCGCTTCCCCCTCCCCGCTCGCCCCGCTGTCCTCTCCGCGGTAATTCCTTCACGGCTCTGATGCCGCTGCTGGCAATCTGTATTGCAGAGGCAATTTCTGCAGGGGCTTAACGCCCTTTCCTGGAACAGGGCTGGCTCAGCTCCTCCTCAGCACCCCCCCGGCCCCCCAGCCTCCTCTCCGGAGCTGCAGCGCACGCTTGCTTTCGGCTCTTCCAGTTGGGTCAAAAAACAGAGGATTTGGGGTGTGAGACCCATGGGGGTGCCGCGGAGCAACCCGGGCTCATCGCTGCCGGGCTGAGGTGGCCACAGATGGTCACAATTTGGGGCTGCGCAGGGAAACCGAGGCACGGGAGGAGCAAGGCAGCCGTGGGCACGCAGGCAGGCGGAGAGGCAGGAGCCCAGCGGAGAGCGGGGCGAGGAGAGGCGCAGGAGGATTCCTTCCTGCTGGGTCAGGAGGGAGAATTCAAACCACTCCTGAGCGCACCCCGACTCCCCCAGCGATGGAAAAAAAAAAAAAAAACACCTCCTTTTTCCTTCCTGCCTTCCCTTTCCTCCTGCTTTTCGTGCCCGGCAGCGCTCCGCTGGCACGGGAGCGGAGGCAGAGCTGCGGCCCCGCAGCGCTCAGGGCAGGCGCCGTGCCGCAGGGCTGCTCGCCACGGCCGCAGCCTGGCTGTGCCTGGCATGACAAGAGGCAAGGGCTGAGCTCGGGGAAGGAGGGCAGAGCCCCCCCAGCACCCCCATTCGCCCCACAGCGGGGTCCGGGCAGCGGCTGCACTCACCGCTGGCTGCGGGGAGCTCCGGAGCTGAGCATTTTGGCTGCAGCCACGGCCCCCAGGCAGCTCTTCGCAGGGAACCCCCCTCCCCAAAAGCAGGAGCCACACGCTTTGTGCTTTTCCTTTCCTGCACCCGGGATAGGAAAGCAAGGAGAGCGGCAGGAGGGACGCGATGGGGCTCAGGGTTTGCCCCCTGCCAGTGCAAACAGCAGCCCCATTTTTCTGGGGAAAGCCCGGGCTGGGCTGCAGCACCCCGTGCCTCCCCAAAAATGCCCCCAGCACCCCGGCAGCACCCCCTGCCTCCCCAAAAACTGCCCCTGGCAGCAGCCCCGCTCGCCCCCCCCCGAGGAGCAGCGAGTGCCCACACGGGCAGCGCAGCGCCGCGCAGGCGAGGCTGAGCGATGGAGAGCAAGTTACATTTTCGTCAGTGCAGAGAGGGGGGGAGAGAAAAGGAGAAAAAAAAAATAAAAAAAAAAATTGATTTACAAGCAGTATTATGATAATCTCCTTCCTGCAGGAGGGGGGGCGGGGTGGGCTCCACAATGCGCTTACCCGAGCCATCAAAGAAAATTTAGAGAGAGGGAGCGGGAGCGCAATTAAGCAGCCAGCGCTCAAATGAATCAAGACGGGGGGGAGAAGGGAAGAGCCCCGCTCCCCGCAGCCCTGCGCTGGGGTTCTGGGAGCTCTGCCCGTCCCCACAGCTGCTGGACTCGTGCAGGGAAACCGAGAGCAAACAGCAGAGGAAAACCCACTCGGCAGCCCCTAACCCACGGCACAGCAGAAGTGCGCCAGGGGTCAGGGCGGCCCCGACCCCAAAACAGGAGCAGGGGCAGGGGCTGGGGGCTCCCGGGGGCTCTCCGCGTGCTCCTGGTGCTCAGCACTCCAGGATTTTTATTCCCCGTGCCTCCCCGGGCACGTTTTGCTGCTGCTGCTGCTGCGGGCAGGGAGCTGTAGTCCCTGCGAAATCGCAGCCCGAGTGCTGCATCCCGTAAATCCTCTTTACTGCCACCCCCGCTCCCCTCCGTGTCCTCTCCATCCCTGCCCACTTCCCCGGCGGCCAGTCACACATTCCCCCCTTTTTCTTCTTTTTTTTTTTTAATTTTTTTTAGGGCCGAAGCTCCCCGTTCCCCCCCGCACCCCTCGCCTCCTCCTCCTCCTCCCACGCGGCCCGGAGCACAACTTTCCCCCAGCCTCCACCGCTTTGATGAGCGCGCTTAAAAGGGAGAAGATGACACTCCCCGGCGAAGGAAACACTTTTTTTTCAAAGGCTGCCCCAAAAATAGCTGACGGGCCCTGACGGCTGCTGCTTTCCTTTCGCTCCTTGTAAACAAGGGAACCGAGGCTGCTCTGGCCCACTTTAGCTGCCGGGGAGTTTCACTTCCCGTCCCCAAGGCGCAGCAGCTCTCACACCAGATATAATAAATATAAATAAGAATAAATCACGGGGATAAAATCCCAGCGGAGTGAAACACCGGGAATAAAAACCCAGCGGGGACCTGAGCTTGCAGGGGCAAGAGGTGTGCGGGATGCACCTCCCTTTCCTCTGGGATTTGGGGGAAAAGTGGGGGAAAAGCGTTTCTTTTGCTGCTCCCTCGCATCCCGCCTTGGCACGGTGTCGGTGCCAAGGACCGGGCTCCAGCCCCAGACCTGGAGAGGTGCTGCATCCTACAGCTCGCCCTAAAACCCTAAAGGCAGCCCGAGTCCAGAAGCAGTCATGGAAGGAGCAGAGAGGTGCTCAAGGACAAATCCACCTGTCCGGGAAGGGGCACGGGGAGCTGCTCCTCGCCCCGACGCTTCCAAGGGCTTCGCTCAGGGCAAAGCAGCACGACGGGGCGAGAAGAAATGAAATGAAAAAAGAAACGGAACAAAAGGCCGGGCTGTGCTCACGGTTCAGAGCAGCAGCCTGCCCTGGGAGGCTCCCCCATGGGGAAAAAGTGTTTTTTTTTTTCATGTTCTACCGCAGCCCGAGCAGCAAAACCCTCCTGAAGCCGAGCCAGCTGGAGCCGCCAGCGCCAGCCCCCGGCCGGGAGCGCTACGGGGAAAGCAGCTTCCAGATGAGGAGCCTTGCGCTGTGCCCACAGAGCTCGTAAAGCGGGATTAGCATGTTAACCACGTCATTAAAGGCGAAAAAAAAACTGAGCAGGCATCTTCAAAGGCAGGCAACCAAAGCCAGGGGTCAGGCAGCAGCGCTGGCTTCCTTACGCGGGCTCCTCTCAGCTGCTGCCTGGTGCTTTTTTGCTCCAAATCCCCTCCCTGTGCCGTGCTCACCTGCAGCCCTCCCCCAAATTCAAGGTGTCCCGGAGCTCCTAGCGCCTGATGGGGAGGGGGCAGGGGGCTCAACAAGCTACCAGCTGGCCCTGGAGGGACACCCAGCATCTCCCCAAAGCCATCGCTTCTGGGCACGGGCCAGGGAGAAGCCTGCGTGGCCAAAGCACCTCCCTGCCTCTGCCGTGGTGCTGAGGTGCTCAGCAGGCAGCCTGCACCCCCCTGCTGCTCAGGCAGGGCTGTGCTGGCCCTCAGCAACTTCTCACAAAGGTTTTTTCTGAGTGTTTTTGCCACCTGTGCTCAGGGATGCTGTTGCTGCAGCCCTGCAGCGCCTCTCCCCTCAGTGCTACAAGCCAAAATGCGCCGAGCGCCGTCGGCGTGCAAGAGCACAGCCACGGAACGGAGAAAAAGCTCCCCAAAATCCCTCCTCAACCAAGGGCAGGCAAGCCCCCGGCTCGGCCAGGCTGGTCCTTGGAGGGAAGCAGCTCCAGGAAGATGAGATGTGGCTGGCAGAGCGGAAAGGAGCAGCCTGGGGAGGAGGCAGGGGACCGGGGGCACCGCAGGGTGGTGGGGAAGGCAGAGCCACCCTGGGGACCGGGGAGGGACCCGCTGACAGCTCCACCAACAGCACCAGGGGGCTGCAGGACACAGCTCCAACCCCCAAAGCCAGAAAGGCGCTCCTTGAGTCACTTAAAAAGGGCTGCAGGGAAGAATCCTGACCCTGGGGAGAGGGCAGGAAACCTTTCCCACCTCCAGCAGCCAGCGTTTCTTGGTGCCGGGGCCAGCGGGCAGGAGAGGAGAGCGCAGGGCAGCAAGGGGCTGCCTCGAGGGGTGGTAGCAGCCGGCACCAGGCGCTGCCAAGCCTGAGCAGTACCTGCAGACGCTGCCTGTCCTCAGCTGCCACCTGCACGCTGCTCTGGAGTTGCTCAGACAGACACCACAGAGCCCACAGCCACGTGCCGCCCCGCTCCGAGCCGAGGGGGGGAAGTTTCAGCCTGCCCCGCCAGCCCTGGCAGCCAGCGGCGAGAGGAAATTGATGGGGTTTGGTTGTTTTTTTTTATCAAGCTCGTGAGCTGCTTTCTGCAGCAAACAAGGGGGCAGGTCCTGCTTTAACTTCATTACGGAAAGCTTCAAAGGCCCCCCCCCTGCACCTCCGATGGGTTCCCAGCCACAGGCAGCAGCGCAGAAGCAGGCGCCCTGAATTATTTAAGCAGCTCTCGCCTGCACTCCCCCACTGATGTTGCCAACTCGACTTCTGCCAAGAGAGACGCAGCCCAGCGTGGAGGATCAGGTGCGAAAATGAAGGCGGAGAAGCTGCCAACGCTTCTGACGGAGCGAGAGCCAGGCACGGGGCCGGGTGGGCTTTGGGGAGGAGGGTGCCGGGGTGCAGGGGGTGGCAGGAGCAGCGGGCACCGCGGGCAAGCTCATGCAGGGGTTAGCGGGACAGGCGGTGACCCCCTCGCCCCAACGCAGAGTACCTCGGAATAACCTAGGTGGCAGTCTCAAATGCAGATAGGTCTTCTGCCCTGGGCTTGAGGCTAAACCAGCAAAATAAAAACGGACACACAGACAAAAAAAAAAACATTCCTCTGTGATACGAGTAAGGGCAGGTTGGGCAATCTGCTCAGCGCTGCAGCGAGCAACAGCTCCCCAGGAGGGGCAGGGGGCTGGCGGTACCGAAGTCCTCCTAAACCACTCGGCCACCTCGGGCGTCTTCCATTTCCCCTCTCCACCAGGTTTCCCTCTCCACCAGGTTTCCCTCTCCATCACAACACAGGGCCAGAAGCCCTCCTGACCTCCCGACGGCAGCAAGAGGAGCAGGCTGGGATTTATTCCGACGAGGAGCGGGCTGGGATTTGGAAACCTCAGCTCCTGGTGGGGCTGGGATGCGGGAGCCGGGCAGCCCCCGTTCCCTCGGTTCCCCCTTGGAGGCAGGGGACGGGCCTGAAGCTCCTAAAGGGGATGGGGACACCCCCCCGACAGATGCCCAAACGCCTGCCTGCCGCCTCCGTTAAGTGAGACAAATGGGACCAGCAGCCTGCTATTAATTTATCTCAAAAAGCTACAGTCAGAGGCAAAAATTTAGCATTTGCTGTTTATACCGAGGGCTCCGAGTACGGGGACGTATCCTCACAAAAACCTGATGGGAGCAGAAAGGGTTTCAGATTCTGCAGTGATTAAAGGGCCTGTGAAGATTTTTCTGCTCTGCCCTCCGGAGAGGCAGGAACCCAAATAGCACAAGGCTGGCACTGGGAAACCAGCGACATCCGCTAGCTTCATTTTCCTGCCCCAATTCAGCCATCACAAGCTCCCAGCCACGAGAGTCGGCACGAGCTGGTATTTTGGAGCCCTTTTAGCCATCGCTGCTCCCCACTGAGACGTGTTATCAGGCCAGGATTTGGTTTGAAAACCCCGAATTTCTACCACGACCTACACCCCTGTCACACTGACTTCCGAAGCGCTCACAAGGACGCTTGCTAGCACAAACCCTGGGGAAAAAAAAACCTCTGCAGGCGACTGGAGCTGACCACTACGTCCTGCTGCACTAATTGTGGATGGGTCCCAGCCCCTCGTTAGAATGAGCCCAGCTGGGAGGAGAGCAGAGCCACTCAACGAAGGGAAGAGAACCAATGTAAAGATAAAGAAGGGCTTGTGTTGGGCCCTTCCAGGCACCCCGATATCCCAACGTTTTGGCTAAGCATGAATCTCCGAAGCATTTCTAGAGGCAGGTGGCTCCAGGGTGCAGAGCACACCCCGCTCAAACCTTAACAGCAGAAGGTTTTGCTGTTAGTGCTTGAAGCTGCACTACAGGTTACTGGAGAACAGATTAAAAGAGAGGATGGAGCTTTTGGCTTTTTCTGCTGAGAGCTCATAAATCAGGAGTGGTTTTCCCCTTATTATTCCCTAGCCAAACTCAGAACTACTTCCTTGCGCTGCCCTTAGGGAACGGTTGCAGTGGCCAGGAAGGGCTTTTCCCGTTCCTGGTGTTAGTAGGGTTGCAAATCCCTCCTACCAGCACCTCTGTATGGCTTTTGGTAAGGTTCAGCAGGACAGGCAAACCTCGAGACCTCCCCAGCCCTCCACCAAGCACTGAGGAGACGAGGCTTGGTTGCAGCAAGAATGAAACCAGAGCCACCAGCAGCTGAGACCCCCTGCGCCCTGGTTCAAAGCTAAGCAGGCAGGGAAGAAAGCCTAGATCAAACGATTTTATTATAACAACGTGTGCAAAATAAAGGCAGGGTTATTTTGTCGATTTTTTTTTTAAAGGATTTCGTCAGGCGAGATACAAACTGGAGCCCTCCGATACCTTTTTAATAGTGTTGTGCTTGCTGTTGCCTCGGCTGGCGTTCTCGTTGTGCAATATATCCAGGGCTGTCTCCCTCTCCTTCAGTTTCAGCGCCTCGATTTCGGTCTTCAGCTCGTTCAGCTGCTCCTGCAGGTGCTTGCTTTTCTCCATGTACTCCACCCTGGCGCACACAAAACAGACCCGGGTCAGTGCTGCCTGGCTGCACGTGGTGGCACGACCCTCAGCAGCCACTTGGTCGGGATTAAAAAGAGAAGCCGGACACCCGACCAAGAACTCTGAGCCCTGTTACTATAAAATAAATAAATAAAAGCCAAGCTAGGGCTGCTGGAGGCTTTTGGAGTGAAGCTGTGCCACGAGACAGATTTAGGGGTGTGCAGTTTCAGCCTAAAAGACGCTGTTTTAAGCAGCACTTCTCCACTCCGCTCTCATCCCATCCGCCCCCCACCTCCAAAACTAGCTCCCAGGCCCACCAAGGCACAAATCCCTTCGTGGCATTTTCCAGGAGGGACCTTGCTGTGCTGCCTTCTCCTGTTTTAGAGGGGTTTAATTTGGTAAGGGGTGTGGGAGCGAGCGCCGTCCCCAAAATATCAGGTGTTTTTTAGACACACCGCATCCCCGAGAGAGAGAAAGGCCTCTCAAAAATAGAAAGTTTAAAAAAAAAAGGCACAAGAAACCTGTAGCCATTCTCAGGTCTCAGCCTTAGCTGCCTTCTACAACGAAGCATCTACCGGAGCCAAAAAAAAAAACAAAAATCACACCACGCCAGCCTGTACTTGCGATTAAATACTGAGACCGAGGTCAAAGTACCAGCAGGCTAACAAGAACCCTCTCAAAGTGCCAAAATTTGTAGCAGGGCTTATCTCAGCATCCGAGGAATGAGAGCACTCCTGGAGAAGCCAGCGAAAAGCACGCTGCTGCTTTTATCGTTTGGCAGAGCCCAGCTCCTCCTGCTCAGAAGAGTGGGATGACCTAGTTAGCAACCTCGGTGCAGAGCCAGGAATTCGGGGGGTATTTGCAGCTTTTACGTTTTTTCTTTTGGCTTCGGGACAAGTTTTTAACCTCTGCCCCTGGAGTAGCGGGAGAGGGAAGTGACCAGAGGCAGAAAAAGCCACCCGGTGGGATGGGGGGTGTTACGACCGCAGCCCTCCGAGCTTTGATCTCCCCCCCCCGTCAATGAACAAAGCACATTATTACTACAGAGATTAAAATCTGATCTGCTTTGATTTCTGCTAAATTTGTAATTTCGAAGGCTACATTTACACCCTCAGGAAAACACAAGATCAAAGCTCGTAATCACAGCCAAAAGTTGCTTGCGTACACGTTTTATATATAAACATGCCACAGATTCACAGGAAAAGGAGTTCCAAATGACGGGGTGGATGAGAACCCAAAAACCTTCTCCCTCTTTCCCTTTATGCTGGAGCTCTTCTGAACGACACAGGAGCCACGCTGGGCTCCGGTACAGCTCCCCTGGCTGCAGAGGGAAGGCAGCAGCAACCCCACCCAGCCCCGGCCCCGGCGGGCAGCACGCCACCTACTTCTCTTTCTCAATTTCCATGGACAGCCTCTTCATGTCCGTATCCTTGAAGTCGAAGGACAGGCTCTCGCTGATGAGGTTGAAGCTCGGCAGGTCCGTGGGCAGCGCTGTCGTGCTGGAGTTCATGGACTGCTACGGGGGGAGAGGACACGTTAATGGCTTTGGGACCGACGTGAGAGCTCCTACAGCGAGAGTGCTCTGCAACACAGAGCTAAAACCAGAGCAATGCCTAAAGACAGCACCAGGTGCTGCTTCTTAATGCTTTAATAAGGTCCCAGTTACCCCCACAGGTAACAGTGTGCTCTCCATGGAGTGGCACTGACCTGGAAGGAGCACCCTGGTCGCATTCCTGATGCACCATGGCCCACCAGCACCACTTTCTGAACCAGCCTCAAACTTCCAGGAGGAAGGGTTAAGCTGGCGAGCTTTTAGAGCAGAAGGTGGCAAGTGCTGCAAAGCCCTGCAGAAGCAGAGCAGCAAACAGGCTGTGCCTCAAGAAGAACATCACTCCAAAGGTTAACTTGGGATGCAATTCCAGGGCAGTCCATGGAGATACACACCACTATTTTTTATTTATTTTTTAACCTTCCCAGCAATTAACAGCTCTGAGTGTTTCGGAACTGCTGCTAGAGCCAGTTGGAAGTGCAGAGATAACACCAGGACCCACTTGAGCTGCACACAAATGAAGATTTGGGACTTTCTTCCCTGCTTCCACACATCTGTGATGCCTCCACCTGGCACGCACTGCCCAGGCTCTCCTCCTTTCTCCTCACCTTTTAAAAAAATGACCCTTCTCTCAGTCAAAACCCCTGTCACACCTCTAATAAATGGGCTCGTTAGCGGCGCAGGAAGAACAGCCTGACTCAAATCATCCCTCCCCTCTTGCAATGTGTTAGATGAGGTCGCCAGCAGCACACGTCAAGGATGGCAGAGCAGCTTCCCATGGCAGGCTGCACGCGTGGAGCTGAGTCAGACCCGCTGCTGGTGCACCCAGCCCGCTGGCATTTGGGGTAGGAGCAACACAGCCCAGCTCCCAAAGGTCACCCGGATCTCTCCAAGGTGTCCCGTCAAGCTTTAAGGGATTCCTGTACCGAGGACGTGCCCCAAGCAGGCGGGATTCGGGAGGAGGTGGCACTGTGCAGACAGGCTGGGCAGGCAGCACACACCAAAAGCTGGGAGGACGGTGCTTGGGCAGAGGGTACCTGCCCCCAGGACTTTGGCTGGTTATTCCTTTCCCGTGTTTCTTCTGTTTGGGATACTCCAGGGACTGTTTGCAGCCAGCTCCAGCACTGCTAGAGCCGTGACAGATTTCCTTGTGCAGTCCCTGCCTCCTCCCTCACCGCCAGCCCGGAATTCACAAGCAGCCGAGGCTTGTCCCTGCTCCTGGACAAGGCGACGACATTTCATTTACCCCGCAGAGCCCGAGCGGAAAGGCAAACACCTCGTACGAGCAGAAACAAGGAGGCAACCAGAACTGCACTGCCTGGCATCCCGCAGCTGAGCCAGACTTCGAGCTGCAAGGAAAATACCCAGCCCTACCCATGGCAGTAGCTGCTGCCACAGGACGTGGCCGCATTAATTCTGCAGCACGTGCTGAAAGGGACAGCTGAGCACCTAAATCCCTGTCCCTAAGGAAAGGGGACAGACCTGCAAAGGCACCTGAGCGATTTAAGTACTTGCATCCCATCGACACGCAGGTCCCTTTGCTGTAACACCCACAGGGGGTTGCAAAAACATTCCCACCTGAAATTCTGTGGTTTGTGATGCGCAGGGGAGCCAGGAGCATCCAAACCATCCTGCTGGCCTTAAAACAACCTTTAACATTTTTTTTCTGCACAAGCTTGTTCTACGTTTAAAAAAAAAAAAACAAACACCACGCACACAACCCCAAAGAGCAATTGAGCAGGATTTTCAGTCGCTGCAATCATTAAACCCAGAAGCCAATTTGTCAGGGTTACTACAGCCACTGCCTCCCCGCTCCTCAGCGCAGCTCTTACATGAAGCAACAAAAAAAAAAATAAAATGATGGAGAAGTAAGAGAGCAGCAATGGGGAGGGAGGGTAAGGAGAGAGCAAAACAGTCCCCGGCCATCCATCCGCAGGGAGGCTGGGCACGAATTTTTAATTAAGGGGACAAGGGGGATGTCACCGGGGCACGGGATGACAGAGGGGACACAGCTTTTCCCTCGTGCTCCCTCACCTGGAACCGAAGGCGCAGCCCGTTGTTCCATTAAAGCAATTCCCTGCAGTTAACAGAGGCAAGCCCCACGCTGACAGCGGCCGTCCCCCCGGGGAGCAGAGCAAACGAGCCGGCTGACACGGAGGAGGCACGGAGCAAGCCGTGTCACAAGGCTTCCCCCGCAGGGAGAGCTTCTTGAGACTGCTTGTATCCCTCCTCTGATGGGATGGAGGCACAGGAATTCTCCAGGGTACAGAGGCCACAATTATGGGCTGGGAACTGAGGATTACAAGACAGCTCCTCCTTACCGTGTAGGACGACTTGCTGGTGATCTCCAAAAGCTTCTGCTTTGCTCTCCGCTCAGACTCCCGAGCCTCCTGAAGGTCTTGCTTTAGCTGATCGGCCTCCTTTGCCCTGCGAAGAAAACCAGCAAATGGCAAATATCAGATCAGAGCCTGGAGGTGACAGGTTACAGTGTAGGTGTAAAACAGGCAGACATTTGTTCCTTAACAAGACCTCAACTAGAGAAATGATTTGAGCAAGGGCAACGCTGGAACCCCTGACACGTGGGACACTAATTAGCACAGAAACCCAAGCCACAGAAGGGCAGCTCTGACACGAGCCCTGCGTGAGCAGCAGTAAGCAAGGCTAAGGGCCAGAGGAGCATGCCAAGATGCCAGAACGGGAAGAACACCTTCAAAAGTTAAGCTCAGGCTTGCGGCAGGAGAGGCAGTTTTCTGCCTGGTAAGCCTCTACTAACATACAAAAAGAAGAAAGCACCCAAGGCTACACAGCTTTGCCTGCTTGCAGGGCCCAACGACCCTAAAACAAGTACCTAGCCCTGAGCCTCAAGGGCTTCCAAGGTCACCCCTACCCCTCCAGGGGAAGCTTTCCTTTGCCAGACTGAAATTTGAGTGGAGATTCTGTAAGTCAGAGGTAAGCAGGGATGGACAAGGGCAGCGTCTGTCCATGCAGAAGGGCTGAAGCCAAGCAAGCTCACACGGGAAGGCGTGATCAGTTGGAAGGAAACAAGAATGATTTCTTTCTCGCTTGCTACCAAACCAACGATGGGGCCTGGGTTCTGGTATCAGAAGGATGGCAACGCCAGTTTTATCAAGAGACAGAGTCCGGGAGCTGGGGAGACCTCACGGCTAACCTGAAACGAACCTCACAGCTGCTAAGGAGAGCTGAGCACCTGAGAAGGAAACACGGGGACAAAGAGATGATAGCAAACACAGAACTGACAGCCAGAAGAAGAGAAGAAAAGCAAAACAACAACAGGAGCGTCAAGAATGCTGTCAGATACTTTCAGAACGCAGTGGGTGTTTGCAGAAATCACCGCCAAGTTTGAGCTGCTGCTGTCAAGGCGCGACAGGCAGAGCGCCAAGGCCCCGCAGCACCCTCTCCCCCGACTGCCAGCCCCTTTCCCTGTGGCTTTCAGCACGGATCTCTCTCCCCCAGACAGCTTCAGAGAAAGGTCTCCAGCTCCAGGGAAAGCTCAGGGCTGTAGCTGTATGATTTCCTACCCAGGGTCAGCCTAGCTGTGGCAAAAAGTGTGAGACAAGGAGAAAGGAGCTCAGCCTCGGGGCCGTTTGCTGCTGGGCAGGCCTGGAGGGCAAAGTGCTGGATGGGCTAACGTCAGGAGCGAGCTGCTCTCGGGCTAAGTCAGAACGGGGCTGGAAAAGCAAAGCAGAGGCAGCTGCAAGGTTGTACCCTCTGACCTCCTCTCCGACTCCTCGGCCATTTTCAGTGCCAACATCTCTGCCTCTAGCACCTTCTGTTCCATCAGCCGCTTCTCCTCCTCCGTCCGGATGGCCGTGGCTTTGATCCGCTGCATCTCTTGCTCAGCCTCTGCTGCTTTCTGAGCCAGGAGCTTGGCCTCCTCCTCTGTGATCTGAGCCTTCTCAGCCAGCAAGTCTGCTGTCTCTTCAGACCTCATCTGAGAACGAAGGCACGTTAAGCACACCGAACATCTCCCAAAACACGCTCTCAGCCCCCAGGGCAGGGCCACCACAGCTCCTCGAGCCCCTCTCTCCCCCTTCCACAAAATCCCGCAGCCTCCAAGTCCTGGATGTGCCCAGGCTCTGTCCCAGCTCGTTTTTCCTTCGTGCTCGTGCCCCAGCAGGCTGTCTGGATGCAGTAAGCTCCAGCCAGCCTCCTGGTCGCTGTCCGCCAGTGGCAGTTTGAGAACAGCCACACAACAGTCATAACGCGCCTCCTGAAACGCTTCAGCAGCAGAAAAGAGTCGGGAACAGCTGCAGTGCCTGGAGAAACAGCCGCCCAGACACTTACCAGAGCCTCGTTGGCCATCGTCGCCTCCTCCTTCAACTGCATCAGCCTTCTCTCCAGCTCATCCCTCGTCCTCTCAGCCTCTTCTCTCATCTGCTTCTCTCGGGCCAGGCGCTGCCTTTCCATCTAGGAGAAAGGGAGAGGGGAAAAGGGAGAGACAACACGCGTCAGAAATGCTTTTTACAGGACCAGAAACCAGACACTGCTTGGGGCTTTGGGCACAGGACTGCGCAGGTTGCTGCCCCCCAGGCTGCTGCAGGAGGTTGTATCCCCAGACAGCATCTCCCGAGCAGCTCCCTGGAGCTGCAGCTCTTGCTGGAGTTACTCACGGCGAGGCGAGCAGGCTCACGGGCAGGCTGAGGGCACCTTCAGAACAGCCGAGACCGACACGTGGCCAGGCAGGAGCCTGAAGGATGCTCTGACAGCTCCTTCCAGACACACACGGATCCACCCTGGCGTGCCGCACGCTCCTCTCCACTTGGAGAAGAGGCTACGAAAATCGTGGCCACCTCTACCCGTCCCTACCACAACCACCCCCCTGCAGCTGCAAGAGGAGCTGCAGAAAACAGCAACACTTCCCCAGGAGGGGGAAAAGCCAAGTCGTGCAGCCACAGCGTGCCACGCAGCTGCCTCTCTGCTCGCCCAGCGGCCAAGGGGAGCCATCGGGTTAATTAACACGCCGGGCTTGAGCGCTCCAGCGCCACGGGGCTGGGTGCATTATAAATATCCACGCCACACCCCGGGCTCGCAGCATCGTGCAGGCCACCTGCCGGGTTTAATAAGGGAAATAAGTGTGACAAGACATTTCTCGGCTCCTCGGACACCGACTGCGTTCTGGAAGCAGGACGCCCACTGCTCCGGCTCGGCTTCCTTCTATTAAAGGCTCCCTTCATCAATTATCGTTACGATCTGCATCCCACTCAGGGCTGCCATTAACAAGGAGTCCTGATGTAAAGGGACTGTTTGGAACCAGTTAGCAGCTGTGGATCCTGGGGAGGGAGGAGAGAGCGTGCCAGATGGCACGGTGGCTAGCTCGGGAGCGGGCAGCCAGCCCAAGCAGAAGCCTGACCCCTCCTGACGAGCACCAGAGCTCTAAATTGGAGAGCTCCGGGGAAGAGTTAAGTTCAGCTCACCCTCAGCACCTCCCTCACCTCTCCCAGGAGCCCAACACGAGGTCTCAGCTCCAATTTGCGTTACCCAAACACTTCCAAAAAGCTCACGAGACCAAAACCTGTCTCTGAAGCCCTGCTGCCCATCAGAGCTGCCTGCTTGCCCTCGCAGCAGGACTCGTGTCCTGTCCCCTCCTGCCACCCCAGGAGGGAGAAGCGCTTCAGGAGGTGCCTGCAGGACGAGCAGCTCAGCCCTAGCTCCTCCAGCACTCCGTGGACATGCTCGAAGCCAAACGAAGTGCATCAAATTAGCAGTCCCTTGAGAGCAAGACTCTCCTGGTGCGACTGGCTGCTTCGGCTTCTGCTGCTGCTATCTAGCGGCTCTGGTGTGAAACAGACATTTATATTCCGAGCAGCAGCGCTCAGATTAGCTGTGTGGGTTTCAGTGAGTAGAAGAGGTCTACGAGCAGAAAACAATGATTCATACAATCCAATTTGCTGATATATACTCATTGGCTACACGCTGCTGCCTCCGAAGAGCAGTTTTTGCTGCCTGGGCTGACCTGCGGCAGATAACGGAGGCCAGGGTGGAAATTAGCATGCAGGCTGCACGCCCCGGCCCGTCGGTGCGCATTCCATCACCGAGTCATTAAAAAAAAACGAGATGAAGAGCCACAGCAGAGCACAGCTCCCCCTCGCAGCCCCTGCTCCAGCTACAAGCAGCCACCCCGGCTCCCGAGGCAGGGCAGGACACACAGCCAGCGCAGGGACAGCCAGGTTTGCTCTGCCCTCCCGTCCTCCCAGCTCTGCTCCCGACTTTTGGGCTGGATTCTGGCTGCCACCAGCCTCCAGAGCCAAGGGGAGAAGGACGGGCAGGGCGAGAGCGAGCTGCTAAGGAGAGCTGTTGGGCTGGCCCTTCCCTCAAAGCTGCTCCATGTGCTTGATGTCACGCTGGAGACTGTTCCTCCCCGAGTTCATTTGCATTTCTGACGCTGGCTCCCGGCCCGGCTGCACGAGATGTCTCTCACCTGCTTCCTGGCTTTCTCCTCCCTCGCCTGCGCTTTCATCTGCTGGACCTCCAACGAGTCTGCCTTCCTCCTCCTCATGAAGAGATCGTGGTTGCCGATACACAGCTGAAGGATCTACTCCAGGCAAGGGTGAAGAGCGGAGAGAAACAGCTGTAAGTGTGCTGATGAGGTGTTTGCACCCCTGACACAAAGAGCTACCAAACTGACCCCAAACTGAGCCCTCGTACCCACGAAGGGGCAGGGAGCAAGGCACAGCCTCGGTCCCCCACCAAACACCCTGGCCATCAGCTCTTTGCTCCCTTTCCTGAGGCTCAAGGTTAACTCGTGTCTTCTCCCAAAAGGGCGGTTAAAGCACTCAGATGGGAAAAAAAAAAAGAAAGGAAAAATATTTTCCATCGTGAGCAGGACCACTGGCAAACAGAAGGCTTATCCAGAGCTGCCTTGCACGCCTTCAGGTATCCTTGCTGAAGGGTTTTGAGCCTCTGTGTGATTTCTTCTGCTACCCAAGGAGGAAGACAAGGGAAGTGGCAATAGCAGGGGAGGGTTAGCAAAGCTCAGCATGTTTTTAGTGAAAGCTCGGAATGGTTTTCAGCAATAATAGCAACTTTCTAAGCTCTGATTCTGTCCTGAAAGGACCACTTCGCATGCCTGTCTTCCATTTCACAGATCTCAAGGGACTACGGAGTCAGAGGAGTTACAGCACTACGACTCTGATGAGTACAGGGAATGAAGCTGTTGTGAGAAAGCCCCTCTCCTCCGTGGCATGCAAGTACAGGACAGCAAAGTTCCCGTCTCTCTCTCACAAGGCTGTGAAAGATATCCCCTGCTGCCTTCCACAGGGCCACTGTGCAACCTAACAGCACGCAGCTGCTCCAGAACCTGCATCAAAGCTCCAAAGGCTCCAAAGGACACCTCCAGACACTAAACCCTGAACACCAGCTGAAGCTGTGTCCCACACGGACACTGGGCAGAGCAGTTAAATGTGGTCCCCTCTGTCCTCACACCAGGAGAGTGTCCTGAGCAGGGATCAGCCTTGGAAAAGTCAGGGCTACAATTCTGATGTCAGTGCCTCACCAAAAAAAGAGGGAAACCTACACCACAAGGCAGAAGGGAAGGGATCGGCAGGAGAAGAAAAGGAACGTGGAGCAAAGACTGGGGTGAGAAGAAGGTTTTACTTACTCCACGCTTCTGCCATGCAGGTCAGACGTACCCTGAGAGCTCAGAAAGGGAGCACAAAAACAGAGGAGTGGGGGAAAGGTTCTGTGAAGGAGCTTGATCTTCCCCCTCCTCTTCTAGACGCTATGATTGAGCAGTAACCGCTAACCAAATCACATCTACAGTCCATCCAGGCCAGCACGCTCCCTCCGAGTGCTCAAAGGAAAAGCCCCCAAAGAACATTGTCTCGTACTGCCTGCAGAAACAACTGCAGCAGACAATAAAAATTACTCTGTCTGTGGACTTACCAGCTTATTCACACGCAGCTTTGATGAATTGAATTTGAAAACATCAATCTTCTTGTCCAACGGCTTAATCGTAAACTGAAAAGGAAAAAAATAGAGCGGGACTGAATTATCTGAGTGCTCTGCATTTAATAAGAACGCCGCTATAAAAGCCTTACGGAAAGCTCTGGCTCAGAGGAGGTCAGCAGTGGCAGACAAACACGGCTGGGAGCTGTCCCCGTGGCTTTTAGCCAAGCAAGGGAACCAGGAGCAAAAGACACCAAGGAGATGGAGCAGCCGTGCCCAGCAGCCTCTGCAGATCACCTTGCACAGGGCAGAGGCAGCTCCGCAGCTTCCCAAATCAAGATGCTGCTCCCCTGAAAGCTGTCGAGGACTAAGAAGGGACAGCAGAAAATGAAGACGCCTCCAAAGGGAGGAAGAACCAGCCCAGCTACCCCACGGATGGGCAGGATTGAATTGGGAATAGGGCAACGGGAGCAGCTCTTCCTCCTGGTAGCACCTCCACTCGTAAGGGCTCCTCAGAAGGATTTTTCCGTGCATTTTGCTCTCCAGAACGCAGCCACGTCACGAGACTGCTCTGCAATTCAAAAAGCTTATCCCCTTGCTCTAACATGCACCGACACTCTGTGCCAACCGAGCAGCTCTGACCTTGTCCCGGGTTCACCCTCCTCCCAGCACCTTCCCACCAGGACTCTCTCCAGAGGATCAAGGTGGCATTGCCAGAACCGAGAGTGCCTGTGACTAGCCCCTGGATAGGCTCTGAACCAACCAAAGGATACTTGAAGAGATGGAGTGCTCTGCAATCCCGCATTTTTCAGGAGGCATGCATGTATTTCATCACTCCCCCTGACGCTACAGAAATAACTGGCTGAAGAGCTAGTGCTGGAGCAGGCAGCCTCTGCCCATTACAGCAGCCCTATTTGTCACTACATTGTGCTGCCTGGAAAGGGCTCGGCACAACTCGCCCTGGCAGTGTTTTGTTTTGTCAGTTTAAGAGCCAATCTTTTAAGACTTTCACACAGGCAGACGTGCGTGAACGGCCCCGGGCTTCGGCTCCAGCAGCATCCACGCCAGCCACCGAAAGCCACAGCAGAAAGAGGCCGGGGGAGGAATTGTGGTTCCACGCAAACAGTCAATCTCTGTTACAACAGATTGAATACCTCTGTCGTGTCGATGTAGCTGTCATAGCCAGCTATTAAGCCTGTTTACTATCACGTCAGTTCCACTTGTGGTCACCTTATTAGGCAGATTATTGCCCTGATGGAAGGTGGCAGTTCCTTTCCCCAGGAGAAAGATCTGTTACAGTTTTGTGTCAAGGCCCAGTAACGGGGCCCTCAATCCCCAGATTTCGGAGGCAATGCATGATCAGGCAGCCTCCACCGCACTGCTCTGCCACGGGCAGAAAAGTCTTTGGAAGTCATTGAGAGCTGAGCTGGTTTGCAAAGTTACGGAGCTCTTTGTTTTTGAGCAGGAAACCGAGTGAGAAGAAATCCAGCATGGCCTTTTCCCCCCAGAACTTCACCAGGCATGCAATAAATGCAGCCGATGAGAAACCTTTAGCTTTTACCCTGATCAATATCATGTCTGGATTGGAAAACACTTTAATTAAAAAGTTAATTTTCTCCCTTACCATGAAGGCAGCTGGTTTTCTTTCAGTCACAGATTGAAAAAATCGAGTGGATCGGTTTCCCGTCCGCAGCCAATTTTCCTGCTATTCTCCGCTGGCTTTGGTGGCCAACAATTCTGAAGATTTGTATTTACAGCCTGGATTTAATAAATATCTATCTTACAGTGGGCTTACATTACTCAGCCTCCTAAAAAGATTCCAGCTGTTAGGCCAAGCCCAGCCGCCTGAGAACCCAAGATATAACGATACGGCAGGAAGCAAGAGCTCTTCTCACCAGGAAGACCTCTCACTACAGCTCATAATTCAGGAGCCTGTACACAGTAAAGAAGGGATTTCAACTCCTGAACTGTGAAATTTGGGCTAAGCACATCAGCAGCAATTCCGTTTGCAAAAGAATTACACGGTGGGTTTAGAGGTAGTCTAAAACCAACCGAGAGAATAGTTCCCAACTGACCTCTCGTGCACCCACTCCAGGAAAGCTGCAGGAAGACCAAGAATGAAGGTTTCAGCTGGAGGAGCTGAGCTGCCCTCAGCTATGCTGGTGACAGCGAGCACAGCAGACAGAAGAGCTAAGGGAAATCGTTTTAAATTGTAGTTGTGGTCTTACAGGTACTGCTCCCCGAGAAGAGGGGAGCTGGATCCTTACCTCCTTATCGCTGTAGGAGATGTTCCGGATCTCATTCCACGGGAAGGAGATTTTGGGGGTCAACCTGTTGTCTGGGTCGTAAATGTGAAGACCCAAGGCGTCAACTCCAAGGAGCAGTTCAGTGCCCTTTTTATTCTAAAGGGAGGAAAGAAAAGAGCAGAAGACCCTTTTATTTGACTCAGAGATGACCTGACACGAACCAAGCCACTGTTAGCTTCCCAAACCAGCCCCGAGCAGCGACCCACCAGCACTGCACATTAAAAGGGCTTCTGCCTCCTCCCAGGCAGCAAAGCACACCGCAGCCATCTCCCACATCTGCTGCCTCTCACAGGCTCAGGGGAGCACAGGAGATGAAGACATCACAAGAGCTACCCCAGCAAGGAACCCTGAGCGCCTTGAAGACGTGACCCCCAAGCCGCACTCACCCTAATTGCAAAATAGTTCACTCCATACATCTCCAAGTCCTGAGCTATCTTCAAATACTCCATTTCTGCTTCGTCTCTGCCAGACAAAAAGAAAGGCCGGTTACAGCTGTTTGCACGATCAGAGCGGGTCAGATGGCTGCTCTTTCTGATCCTGAGCGCACACAATGCTTTAAAACCTCGCCTGCCTCTATCGCATGGGTCAAGCCTGTCTTTGCTAGCGGGATCAATAAAGTCCAACAGCAAATCCCAGCCTGCAGCTTGCCAGCATCTTAATGGCTGCTGCCGCCTGCCCGGCGAGACACAGCACTTCAAGCCTTGCTTTGTCCCCCTCCCAATCCCTTAAGTATAAAGGGAAAATCTCCGCTGTGGGTCTGTGACAGAGGCTTGCTGGGATCAACCCCGCTGTTAGCAGAGCTCTTCCATCCCCTGCCCAAGCCTTAAAACTCCCCAGGTTGAGGGATCCTGACCCCCAGGCCACTCTAGCACATGCTCACCTTGCTCTGCCTCGGTGCTCTGCATACCAGGCTGTTATCCTCTCCTCCCACATCTCCGGGGTCATCTGGTATAGGTTTATTACCTGAGATAGACAGGGAGACAGAGACACGGGTCACACTGCCACTCTCGTCCCAGTCCTCCAGCAGCACCCCCGAGCCCCCCGGCTGATCTGACAGGCGCCTGCCTTTTCTCCCAGCAGGGCACACTCAGCCTCGTGACCTCCCCAGGGTCACTTAACCCTCCAAGCACACAAGCAGTCCCCAGGTCACTGAGAGGAAACAGAATGAAACTCTGAAAACCACTGGAAGGAAAATACTTGCTTCTGGGTTTATTAAAAAGTCAGATAAATACTGCATTCTCCTCCCTCGGTAGATCTTTTTGGGTTGTTTGCCTCGATAGGGAAGTCCAGCACAACCAAAGCAGGGGGCTCCCCGGCAGGCAGCCCCTCGGAGCCCCTCTCTGCATTACCCAAATGCTACCGAGCTCGGAAATTTGCTCCTCTGCTCCGTCAGGCTCCTTACCCGCTTTGGAAGCAACTCCTCCTGCGCCAGGAAGCCTCGCTTGTGGACGTTGGGATCGTAGTCCCCATACTGCAAAGAAGCAGAGCCATCAGCATCACCAGCAAAACTCCTCACCCCACAAAACCACCCCCAGGGGAGCCAGCACACAGCCTGCTGACACCCTCCAGCATCACAGCCCGTCAGGGCTGCAGACGTGTGCTGCTCGGGGAATTTAATAAATGCATTTTCTTTGCCCCTCCTAATGAACAAACGTTTAAAATGAACGACAGGAGCTGGGCAGGCAACTGCAGGCTCCTCTCGGGCAGGTGTCAGCTTTTCTGCCAGAGGGGCTGCTCCTCAACGGGGCCGCGGAATCCAAATCCGATTTGGGAAGTGCAGGCAGTAATTACTGGCATTTGTTTAGCTTTACATCTTTTGGAGCAGCGCATCAAGTGACGGAGGACTCCGACTGCCTATTAGCAGATTCAAAAGGCGAGCGTCCCTGCAGTGCATGCGAAAATGAATCCACCTCCTCTACAGCACAAGAGGGCAGGAAACAGCCAGAAAGCAGCACCTCGAATAACCCAGCGAGCTGAAGCAGAGAGGATGACAGATGTGAGGCACGTAGAGGAAACGCCGCGATTTCCATTCACCTCCCGCTCTGACACCAGGAGCTGTGCCGGGCTGCAGCCCCCCAGCTCAGCACCAGCAGCCCACAGCCCAAAGGATGCCTCACACCCGGCGAGCAGGGATTAAAGACACAAATATTGATTTGGAGCCAGTGCAGACGCAGAAGAAGCATGTCAGAGCCGGCACTGACTCAGGTTGCAATTAATCCACCGAAACCGCCCTGGATTTCCTTCGGGAGGGTGCTGAGCAGTGGCAATTCTCTGTCCCCCAGCTCAGAGCTCCTCGGACAGCAGCACACTGCGGGTGCACGTCTCCTGGACCCACAGCAAGAGGGAAGAGCAAAATAAAAACACCCAACTAGCGAGGGAAGCAACCCCGGTAACCTTGGAGAGGGGGGAAATAAATCATTGCTAGGGGATGAAAATGAGAGCAAATAGGATTAACGCGATTATTTTTTTTTGTTGTGATCTGCTCTGGAGATCCAAACCTAAGTATGGATTATGTGATTTTCATACGGTGAAAAATATTGCCATGTCCCAAAGGAATACCCGTACCGAGAGGGAGCCTGGCTGAGGACATTAATTATTCACAACCAAAAAAAATCAACAAATGGCTTAAGCATTGCAGTCTACGCTGGCTCAAGTGATTCAGCAAACACCCTTTCAAAGACCTTTCAATTAAATAATTACTTCCCAACTGTCATAGAATTTTAATTCCTGTTAATTGCACGGCACGGTTAATATTCATGGTTCCCCATGGAAGTTGCCTTTCCATCATTCATACCCCTGGCCTCTACTGCCACGGGCACGTTGGGCTGCCAGCTATTAGCACTGAAGCAGTGTTTGTTTGGGGTGAAAAAACAAACCCGAGACCCTGGGGCTAGCGCTGAAGTGCTGCAAGATCTGAAGTACGCAGAGCAGCAGGGCAGAGATTTGCATCTGAGGGGCAGGAGATGGAAAAAACCTCCCAGATGTTGGCATTTCGTGCAGGGACGCGTTACCCAACAGACCCGAGCCTTTCACTGCCCCCTGAAACCCAAATCATCTCCAAGATCTGAGAGTGGTGTGGGTGGCTTGATTGCAGGTCTAGAGGGGAAGACACGTAGTAATTCCCCAACCGAACACAAGGATGTAGAAATAAATAAGCTTTTTACTTTCACGACCCGCCTGCCTGCTCAGTTATTTCAGGTAGGTGGCTGAGCAGCGGTGCAAACTTGGCTGTGGAGCAGCTGGCTACATCAGATGCGAGCACGCTGATGCTTTGTCAGGCTGCCACAGCCCTAATCATGCAAATCAGCACATTATTAGAGAAATTACCGGGCTCAGCGGCTGCTTTCTTGTCCAGAAAGGACACCATTGCCCTATTTAATGGGAAGGAGGGGACTCGCAACACCTTTCTTTGCAGCTCGGGGCTGGGGACATGCTTTCTGCTCCCCATTTCCCTGGGAAACAGCAGAAGGGGAAGCCCTGTCCCGACCTGGTTACGAGAGGGGCTGCAAGGAAAAGCCACATCCAAAGCAGACGTGAAAGGAGCTTTAGCTAAGACAAGAAAAGGCACCCCTCTTCCATCTTCTCACTACCTCTGCAGAATCAGGACGTGCAAGGTAAGGAGAGGTGCCCTGATCCCTGTCTACATCCTCACCCAGGGGTTTATTTGTTCTGGCAAGGGGACGTGTCATCCCCTGGGACCCTCAGCTCGGCAGGTCAAAGGAGAAAAAGCCAAGCGAGTGTTTCCTCACACGCTCTAATAAAAGCGTTGGGTGTTTCATACAGATAGAGATGTTTTTTTAAGCAACTCTTTTTCCCTGGCCAATGAGTCTCTCTAAGAAAATATGATTTCATCAATGCTTTATGAGAAGAAAGCATCTTTTTTTAGCGAATCCAAGCGTTCAAACACAGTATTTCTGCATGCCACCCAGTGCTGGATTCAGACAAATTGGGCACAGTCCGATGGGTTATGAGGAATATTAATTATCAGGAAACCCAGGAACATGAACAGAACACTTCCACCGAGCCTGGATCAGGCTCTCTTCAGACAGAGGCAAATCCACCATCCTTTGTGGCCAGCGAGGGAGGTCTCATGCATCAGAGCTGCCCTGCTGCTCCTCGGGGACAGGCAGAGGGGCCAGACCCAGCCACAGACACCCAGCTGTGGCTCTGCGAGCCAAAACCTCTCCCTGAAGAGCACCCAGAAGTTGCTGACTGTGCCCATGAAGCTGTGGTGATAACGTAGCTGGACTGCCATCAGGCTCCAGCAACTCCTCTTCCTTCCCAATGACATTCTCTTTGCACACAAGCTGGAGATTAGCTGGAAAACTCAATTTAGTTCATGTTACATTACGGGGATAAATGACTTCTCTCCAGCAAGGCGTCCCCAACTCCAAACCTGGGGCTGCTCCCTCTGTCACAGGAGTCCCTCTGCTTCTGGCTGCTGCACGCTAGCCAAAGGTCCAGAGTCAGTGCTCTTCTAAAAAAACCCTTGGCAAAACACTGACTGTGGGTCTAAAGGAGAATTCAGCCAAGGGACGAGGGGAATTTAATGACCACTGAGTTTTCACTCTGCCTAGCAAGGCCAAACATCCGTGATCAAACCTCAAAGGGAGGAATCAGGGAGAGATCTCCACCACTGCAGCAACATCTGCGGGGCAAATTGCAGCAGATAAATGAAGCTGTTCTCACAAGGACAAGCCGTGGAGCTGCCAGTCCCGTTGCTGGTTTGCTGCTGGCTACGACAGCAAAAGCAGGGAGCAGATTCCAAAAAGATGGGGCTCGGGGAATTCTAAGACACTCAAGCGGGCCCTGCAGCTCACGGGCTGAGCGCTCGCTAAAGAGTCCTGGAAAGAGAAAACAAAATCTGTCCAACGTCCAGAGGCAGCCAAAAATCAGCGCTGAGAAGGCAGTCGCCAGCACAGTCCCATCACGTGTGAATTTTTAATAACTTGCCTGGCCTCGGGAAGCAGGTGAAGCACAGCGCCTGGCTCCCAGCAGCCACGCCAGCACGCCCTGGGAACCCCTCCGTGCCTACCTTGGCTTGGACGGCGTAGGAGGCCAGCAGGACAGAAGCTTCGGGAGGACAGTAGATCTTCTCGTCCAAAATCTGTTTCTTCACCTGCCCCCAGACATAAAGGACACAGAACACATGCTCAGCGGAGCGGTGCAGAGCAGATGGCTGCGCTTCGTTTGAAGCAGCACTGCCAGCCCACAGCTAACAACCTGCCCAACGCTCCTTACTGCTGGTGTCTCCGGAGGGAAGGGCTCAGCCTTTCACAGGCCACCTTTTGCAGACAGGTTTGTGAGAAGAACTAAATTTATAAGGTGGAAAATGACAATCTGTAACCCACGGCGAAAGGCAGAGGGAGAAAAGAGCCCGCGTGTAGGTGCGGAGATGAAGCCTTCGAAGGCATCAGCTTGGGGTTGGCGTGGTGTCTATACACAACGCTGAATTAAAATTAAAAAGCTCACAGCTCAGCCCCTGAGCACGCCGAGGTGTCACTCCGGGATATTCAGGCCTCGTTAGGAGTCGGTGCTCACCTGTGCTGGGGGGCAACTCGCTGCAGTCCCACGGGGAGCAAGGGGAGCTGCAGGTCTCCTCGAGGGTGCTGCTTCTGGCAGCTCCTGTGCACACCCCCGGGAGAGCCAACGTGCAGCTCCCCAGAGCCCCTGCTTTATGCTGCCTGGCTTCTGTGCGTTAAAAAATTCCACCCGTCACGTTCAGTGTTTCATGTTTTTGCACACTTAATTTTCCTGTTAAAAAAACAGTGCTATTTCCCCAGGAGACCTGAACGGATCCTCACAGGGACGCAGCAGCACCCATCTGAACCTACGGCATGTCTTGCATCCCCAAAGTCACTTCCAGCACAATGCAGGAGAACCTTTTTGGGGGATTAAGGCAAACAGGGGACTTTCCAAGCTTGTGTGCGTCCCTGATGCTCTCACACGGAACAGGGACGCAGGCTCCTCTCCCATCATCAGAAATCCTGGCAGAAAAGTCTCAGTCTGCATTTTTTAAAACGCAGCTTTAACTGCTTCTCCTCTCATTTCCTTCTTTTCAAAGACGCCAAAAGCATTTTTCCTTATCAAGCCTGAAACCCATGGCAAATTGGACATTTAAAAATAGCCCGAAGGAGACACCAGAGCACAAGACAGCCTCTGGAAATTAACAGCAGCATTTTGCATCTCAAGTCCTCTAGCTCTGAAGAACAAAGACGAACTGGGAGGAGCACCAAGGAGCCGCTGAGCTCACGTCTGTGCCCGTCACAAAGGACAGGGCACCCTGAAGCCTGGCACACTCCTGCCCTCAGATCTTTTTCACACAACCCTTGATAGGAAACAGCTTCAGAAAATTGATCTTGGCTGAAAGAGAAAGCTTCTGTGATAGAAGCACGTCGTTACTAGCACTGCTACAGCATCACCTGAGCTGATTTATCACAGTAACACCTTTTGTGGAGCACTTGAAAGAAAAAATGCCTGAAGAACCGTTAGCCACGGTTTCCAAATGCCTGGCACAAGAGCCCGAGCTGTGGGTGCGGCTGGGTCAGTCAGGTTTTCCCTTCTCCTCCTGCCACCAGCTTTGGACAGAGGTGTGCTTCTGGGATGTGCTTCTGCTCCAGTTATCTGAGGGGCAGTTTGTGAAGAGGCAAACCTCGTGCAGCCTGAACACGAAACGAGCTGTGTGCCTTCTGCACAGGGGAAAAATTCCCCTGCTCCCCAGCACAATGTGATCACTTGGGAAGGCAGCAGCCAGCTCTCAGCACAATTGATATCCACACCCCGCAGAGAGGCTGTGAGGCTGTGTGTGTCATCCCTGCCCGCAGCTGACATTCATCCTCCTTCGCTACCCCACACTGATCTTACAAATCACCTCATCACTCCTGACCGCCAGCTTCCTGCCCGTCTGGGCACCTGTGACTGCTCCATCCATCTCGGCCCTATTTTAAGGAGCTTCTGCTGTTGAGGACAACTGCACTCGGGGGGTGGGAGCGTAACGATGAGGAGCCGCTTTTTGCTGACCAACTTTCTCAGAACTTTCTGGCACTTCTGCTCATCCCAGCTCCTTCCACCCTCAGGCTGGCAAGCAGCGCGCTCACCTGCAGGAAGAACAAGTGCTGTGTGATTTCCTGGACCAGCTCCTCCTCTGCGTTCTCAGGATAAAACTTGGCTAGGAAGTGGAAGGTGACAGGCTCCTCGGTCGGCACATCGTGATCCAGAACCTGTGGGACACAAGAGCCGTTCAGTTACTCCTCCTAGCTGCTTCCGTGCCCCCTCTGCAGCAGCTGCCACACCGCCGCTCCCCGGTAAGATCAACGCGTCCTTTGTCAAGCACTTCAGACATCTAGGAGGGATAAAACAACCTGCATCGTGCAGAAAGCAGAGTTAAAAAAGGAAAACAAACAGTTCAGGGGCTCAGAATGATGCGAGGCAGCAAACAGCATGCGAAATGAGGCAGCTGGATGCAAAAAGAGCCACATCCATCGCTCCTCCAACTGCTGGGCAGCCCGGAGCCTCGCAGATTTGGGGAGCCTTCCCCTCCTCACCACTCCCCAGTTCTTCCTCCTCCCCGGCTCCTGGGACATTCGACAAGAAAAGAAACCCGGGTGCTAAAGGGTTTGATGTTCAGGGAGGTGGACTGGGGGAAGCCATCAGGCTGCATTCACATTTTGGACCTCCTTGCACATCTGTGTCACGTCCCGAGGGGAAGGGGAAGGTAAATCCCCCTCCTGCCACCCCGCACAGCCTCCCAAGGGAATCTGGTCCTGACCTTCTTGTCCATTTTGAGCCAAGCCACCGTGTCCTTGATGGTGTACTGCAGCCCGAAGAACCAGGTTTCCCGGAGCCCCAGCGTCCTGCACACCAGGTCGAACAAGTCCTTCCCTTTCCACTTCACCTGCGGGGACAGGAGGGGAGGCAGAGTTACGAAGATGACCTTTGGAACTGTTCCCATTCGACCCAATCCACTCCTTTTTTTTGACTGGGAAGCCCAAACGACACCGTGAGGTCCCTCTGCTTCTTCCTCCAGCGACCCTGGGGAGGCAGGAGGGCCATAAAGCAGATGAATCGCACGCACCAAAGCCACTTCTCTCCTCTGCCTGCACACTGGAAGCGAGCACTGAGCCGAGACACACAGCTGTTAGCCCAAAACCCCGGGGCAAGAGGCTCCGGGCACATTCTGGGCACGTTCTCTCAGCACAGCTCCATCCTGGTGCCACCTGCACAGCACCAACACCGACGCGGGGACGAGTGCCGCTCCTGCTGTCTCCCACTGCCGCCTTGTGGGCGAAGCAGCTGAGGACAAGCCACATTCAGCCACAAAACGAGCACAAAACGAGCACCTCGTTGCCTTCCTGTCGCTGTTTTCCCCCCTCAGGGGTACCCATGCGTGCCGACAGCCCCAGGATAGAAGGAAGCCGGCGCCAACCCCCAAAAAATAACACCCGAGGCCAGCTCGTCGCAGCCTCTCCGTGATTCCTGCGGGGCACAGGCAGCACCTTGGGGACAGGAGCACTGCGAGGAGCAGGTTTGGCAATGCTGTGATGATGAGAGCTTGGTTTCACACCCCAAGCTTGCCTTCAGTGCCCATAACGAGCCCCAGCTTGGCACAGGATGCTTCAGACACCCCCCAACCACGCCGAGCTGCCCCCATTAAATGCAGCAAGGGAAGGGCAGCCCTGCTTGGCGTGCCACACACCACCTCCTTCCTCACCTGGGCACTCCTGGCAGCCTCGGATAGCCAAATTTTGAGTGCTTGACCGACCTGGAGGACCTTTAGCCCTCCTTGCCTGCCTTTGATCAGCCTCAAATCATTACCTGCCACATCTCCTGGCCATAAAAAAAGAGTAAAAGCCCCCAGTGGGTGCCGGGAGGTGCTGCTGAGGGCCGTGCAGGCAGCCTGGCAGCTCCGGATCCTGCTCTATGAAGCAGGAGGACGACGTGGGGAGGTGTTACGAGCACCAGACGGAGGCGCAGGGCAGGAGCATCCCCTCAGGGCCACGCACCGCGCCGACCTCAAGCTCCCTCTGCCCACAAAAAGCCCCGGGGCAGCCACCCAGCTGTGGAAGGGGCAGGATGCACTGCTCTGCCCTCAGCTCCTGCCTTGTCCCAACTCAGGCTGTGCCACCAGCCTCAAAGGGACACGTGGAAACACTGCCAAGACCCCCCCAGCAGCTCCCAACCCCAAGCGAGGCAGCTTGGAGGCCACAGACACTATTTTCCTCCTCCTGGACCCCAAGCAATAACGGGAGAGCCCCCAGAGCGCCACTGATTTGGGTTTAGAGCCCATTTGGAGCAAGCTGGGGATCAAACACTCGCCAGCCCTCTGTTTAGTTACCCAAACAGATGTCAGACCTCGCAGCCGCCGCTTCCCACAGCCACGAGCCGGGGGCCGTGAAAGTTATTTTTATTTACTAATGCTTCCCGACAACCCCATAACGAGTTTTTAATTAAAATCTATTCCCGTTAAGCACCGAGGAGGCCAGGAGAGGCGCCCAGGCGTAGCCAGGCAGATGGCACAGCCGGGCACGCTCCTGGGGGCTGCCCAAAGGCAGAGGCAGCGCCGCGGCGGCTCCTGCAGCTGGCAGCGGGGGCATGGCCACCCGGGGGCTGTCCCCAAACCCGTCCCTTCCCCAGGTACCTCTGATTTCAAAAGGAACCGACCTGGACGAAGCTGAGAGTCAACAGAAAGGGCAGGAAAACCCGAGCCCGCAGGAGCCTCAGGCCGGGACACAGGAGAAACGTCCCCTCTGGGGAAGGTTTTGGGGAGCCAGGAGCCAAAACCACAACCACGGCCCCCAGAAGACGGCGTGGGCACGGGAACCCCACAGAAACGAGGCCAGAAATGGAGCAAGAGGCAGCGCAGCTCACCCACACCGGGCACTGCCACTGCTGCTGCTGCTGCCAGGGATAATTCCAAAAAAATTGAAAGCCAGGGAGCTCCCCGACCCCAAAATCCTGGGGGTTCCCGGGTCACCTCCACCCCGTGTGCTCCTCCAGGGCCATGGGGTGAAGTTTGAAGCCCCCCAGCCCAGCCCCAAACACCTCCGGCTGCTGGGGGCAGCCTGTGCCGGCCCTCAGTGCCCCCGAGGGGGGTTTCCTCCCAAGCTCCCCCCCAAATCTCCCCCGTTTTGTGGGTTAAACCCTTCCCAATCATCCGGTGTGATCTGATCGAGCACAGAGTCGCTCCGGTTTTTTTACACCACCCCCCAGGTACGGTGAGACCCCCGGGGGGTCTCCCTGGGACCTCAGGCTGAACGCCCCCAGCCTGGCCCCATGGGTGGGGGCCCCAGCACCTCCACGGCCCCCTCTGGGCCCGCTCTGCCGGCCCCACACCCCCTGTGCTGGGGGCAGAGCATGGGGGGGCAGCCCCCAACCCCTCAGCCCCCCCACCCCCCCCAACCCCCTCTGCCCACCTCAGCACCCCCATACCCCAAAGACCTTCCCTATCCCCCAATACCCTCCCTACTCCCCCCAGGCCCCCCCAACTTCCTCATATCCCCTCAGCCCCCCACACTAGCTCAGCCCCCCCCACCCACCTCAACCTCCTCAGCACCCCCATTCCCCCCCAACCCCCAGCTCCCCTAGCTCCCCAAGACCCCCCCCCCAGACCCCCTGAGCCCCCCCATAACCCCAAGCCCCCCCCTAACCCCCCTACATCCCCCATCACCCCCAATCCCCCCCACACACCCCTCAGCCCCCCACAGCCCCCCCCAAGACCCCTCAGCCTCCCCCAACCCCCTCAGCCCCATAATAACCCCTTATAACCCCCAAGACCCCCCCCACACCCCTCAGACCCCCCCCCCCAAGACCCCTTCAGCCTCCCCAACCCCCCCAGCCCCCAATACCCTCTATAACCCCCCCCCATAGACCCCCCACATCCATCCCCCCCATATCCCCTCATAGTAGCCCCCCAAGACCCCCTCAGCTCCCCTCATAACCCCCCCCACATCCCCTCAGGCCCCCCCCAGCCCCCCCAAAGACCCCCTCAGCCTCCCCCAACCCCCCCAGCCCCCTCTTAACCCCCCATAACCCCTCCACAACCCCCCCCAAACCCCATATTCCCCCAATAACCCCCCCCATATCCCCTCACCCCCCCACACCCCCTCAGGCCCCCCCCCCCCCCGCCCCCCCCCCACCTCGCAGCTGAACTCCATCTCGGCGTCCATGGTGCCGACCCGCACCGTGAAGGTTTTGGGCTGCTTGCGCTTGAGGGAGCTGAAGCTCATTCGGGACGCGATGGCCCCGGCCATGGCTCCTGGATTGGGGGGGGGGGGTCCCGGGGTGGGGTCCCCCCAAGGGAAGGGCCCGGGGCCGCTCAGCGCCGCGGGGGCAGCGCCATGGCGGCGGCTCCCGGCCGCGCCGAGCTTCGCGGCGCCGCCACGCCATTGGTCCGCCGCCGCGCTCGTCCCGCCTCCCTTAGGCATTGCCACCAATGGGGAGAGGGGAGAGCCGGAGGAACGGGTGGGGATTGGGGGAGGAGGCTGTCGATCAAGGGAAAAGGGAGGGAAGGGGGCGGGGCTTAGGGGTGGGATGAGGAGGGTGCGGCGCCGCCTGGCGGAAGGAGGAGAGAGGGGCGCGGGGTGACGTCATGGGGGAGAGTGGGGCGGGCACTAGGACCCGGGGGGGAGGTTATGGGGTTGGGGGGCTATGGGGGTGGCCATGGGGCATCCCATAGGGGGTCTGGGCTAGGGGGGGCTATGGGATGGGGGGGGTTGTTGGGGGGGCTATGGGGTGTCCGGCTGGGGTGCCATAGGGAGCCCATAGGGTGTGGGGGGGCTATGGGGTTTGTGGGGGGCTATGGGGGTGGGAGGGGTGTTTGGGGGTGTTCTATAGGGAGCCCATAGGGTGCCTATAGGGTGTGGGGTGTCTGTGGGGGCTATGGGGTTTGTGGGGGGCTATAGGGTGGGGGGGGTGTTTGGGGGGGCTATGGGGTGTCTATAGGGAGCCCATAGGGTGTGGGGTGTCTGTGGGGGGCTATGGGGTTGTGGGGGGTTATGGGGTGCCCATAGGGCATGTTGGAGGCAATGGGGTTGTCCATGGAGTGCCCCCTGGGTTGTCGTGGGGTCACGAGGTGTTTGTGGGGTGCCCATATAGGGTGTCCTTGGGGTCCTGGGGTGCCCATAGGGTATCCACAGGGCACGTGTGGGGTGTCTGTGGGGCATGTGTGGGGTCAGAGGGTGTCTGTGGGGTGCCCACAGTGGGGTGGCCACGTTGGTGTGGGGTGTCCGTGTTGTTATAGGGTGGCCGTGTCCCTGTGGGATGTCCGTGTTGGTGTAGGGTGGCCACGATGCTATAGGATCTCCACGTTGTGGGATCTCCTTGATTTTATAGGATCTCCATGATGTTATGGGATATCCACGATGTTATGGGGTGTCTGAGTTGTTATGGGATGCCCACGTTCCTGGGGGATGTCCATGCTGTTGTAGGATCCCCATGTTCCTGTGGGATGAGTGTGGGACGTCCCCGTTCGGTGGCCATCCCCGTCGTCCCAGTCCATCCCAGTCTGTGGTGTCGCTGTGGGGTTGGGACGGGGGCGGGCGCTGCCCCGTGCCAGCCCCCTGTAGGGTCACGGCTGGGCTGGGATAACGGGATTGGGATCAGCGCTGGGATAACGGGACTGGGACCAGCACTGGGATAAGGTTATGGAACTGGGACTGGGGTTGGGGTAATGGGATTGGGATCAGCACTGGGATAATGGGACTGGAATCAGTACTGGGGTAACGGGACTGGGACCAGCACTGGGTTAAGGGTGCGGGACTGGGATTGGGGCTGGGGTAATGGGACTGGGACAGCACTGGGATAAGGGTTGGGACTGGGATTGGGGTAATAGGATAATGGGGTGGGACTGGGATCAGCACCGATGGCGGGGAGGGGGGTAATGGGGTGGGACTGGGAGTGGAACTGGGATAACTGGGTGGGACTGGGATCAGAACCGAGGACCGGCACTGGGTAACGGGACGGGACCGGAGGACCGGGATAAGGGATTGGGGCCGGGCAGGATGGGATCGGGGTGGGCGAGGAGCCCCCCCAGGACCCCCCTATCCCGGCCCCCCCCCGGCCCCGCGCCCCCGCAGGCCGCAGAACGGGGCCTCTGTGTGCGGGGCGGCGGGGGCTGAATGGGGCCATTCATGGGGCCCCCCCTCCCTAAATCCCCCCCCACCCACAACAGCCGCCCCCGCTGGGACCCCATGGCCTGCAGCCACACGGCCCCCCCCCGGCACCCCAATACCCAGGTGGGGGGCTGGGGGGATATGGGGGGGGTCCTGGGGGACTATGGGGTGGGGGCAGGGGTCCAGGGGATCTATGGGGGGGGCAGGGGGAGATATGGGGGGTCCAGGGGTCCAGGGAAGCTATGGGGTGGGGAGCAGGGGGGGGTCCAGGGGAGCTATGGGGCCAGCGGGACATATGGGGGGGTCCTGGGGGGCTATGGGGCCAGGAGAAGATTTGGGGGGGGTCCTGGGGGGTCCAGGGGGAGCTATGGGGGGGCACGGGGAGCTTAAAGGGGTATGGGGGGGGCAGGGGGGCTTGGGGAGTTATAGGGGGCTGGGGGGGGCATGGGGAGTTATGGGGGGGGGGGCTTGGGGGCTGGGGGGCGCATGGGGGGGGGCCCTAAATGGGGACCTGGGAAGGGGGACCCTGGGGACTGGGGGGGGCTGTGGGGGACAAGGGGAGGTGGGGGGGGGGTGTTTTTTGGGGGGGGGACAGGGCCTGGGGGGGCTGTGAGCCCCCCCCCCCCGGTGAAACCCTATTGCCAGCCCTGCCGCCCCGTGCCGAGGGTGCACGCTTTTGGGAAGGGGGGGCAGGCCGTGCGCAGGGACCCCCGCGCCCCCCCGGCCATGAGGGGCTGGCTGCACAAACAGGTGGGGCTGGGG